CTCTCTGCGCCGCTCATGACAGCTGCTTTATCACAATTTTTGCTTCTTTTTTTGTCGGAGAAATATAATACACATGACACTGAGAAATTACCTTACTAAGCATTTCAAGGGAAAAGAAGCAATTTGCGTTTTTTCCTAAATATAAAATTAGTCTCGAGTCGTTGAACTGCGCAATTAGTTCAAAAAAACAAGTTCATCTCATTTTCTCTTGAAAAGTGAATTTGCTAATCGGTGCAGTGACATCTCTCGTGCCACGAGTGTTTGACCTCAAAATCAGTGTACATTACCAACGCACACACGTGGCAAATTGTTTGAGTTTAATTGGGAGAACAAAAGCTGACGAGAGGAGAAAAATAAACACACCGTGCCGTGAAAAAGTCATCGTAACGTGACCCGCGCGAGTCGCTTCCTAGATTCTTCTGAAGCAGAAAAACCAACTCGAAACGACCAGCAGGGCAGGTGTGAAAAAATATAAAAAATCTTTTCTGGTCTAGAGTTGAATGCACTCGATTTGCATTTGTTTGTTTTCCTCACGCGACGGCTGCTTTCGTATTCACCTCTTCTGAATCGTAAATATAGAAATGGGCGTTTGCTCCTCAAAGTCTTGCATCTATGATTTGTCTTTTATAAAGTATTATTTTAGCATGGATTACTATTTTGCTTAATTCTAAGATCCACCGCAAATTTTTAAGAAATATTTTTGCATTTAATTATAATTTTATGTTAAATGTTGATTTAAAAAATTATTGAAATCATTACTTTTAACTTCAATCAACGTCACTTATATTTAATAAATGTTCCGAAAATTGATCCCAATATTTGAGAAAAGAATTTGTTAATAAAATAAATTTTTTCTCAATTTTTTTAACTCTAAAAATTATTTCTTCTCATAAGAGAAAGATAAAATAAAAAAAGAACTTTTCTTTTTTGTAAAAAATCTGCATATAATGGAGCAGCGTCAAATTCCTAATCTGTTTTCTGAACTCGTTCAGGTATAACAGTAAACATTTCCTTCCAGTTTTGTGATATATTTATTTCAATAGGTGCCCCAGATCAGGAGAGCTGTTGTAGATAAATGAAATTTTTGGCACAAAACACCGAATTTTGCGCATCAGCAAAGCGGTTGGTCGTGATAAGCTGATAAAATTGGCCTCAGTTTTCGTTCCCACACACCGAGATAAAAACAATTCTAGCGAGTGCCGCTATATGGAGTGCATGGCCAGATGTGTATCACACACACACACACTCACATTATGTGATATATAATTTACAGTTGCTCGCGGAACTCGGCACGAGTGGGTCAAGAAAAAATCGCCCGTCTCGTGCATTGCGGCCGCGAGACGCGACAAAACTGGATAATGTGGACCAAATTTACAAACGAGCTCTTTTCGGATGAACTCGGCAGATGCATTTGAATAGCATATTATGCATGCACAGGATACAAAGGAGCGAAAATCACAACATCCTGTTGCAGGCGTTTCATCACCTACTGAATATTCAATCAGAATTTCGGTGAAATGAAACCGAATTTAAATTAGGTATAATGAGCTGTGTCCTCTGCTAAATTGTTGCTTTTTTTCAATAATTGGAGGGAAATCGACAAAAAAAAAGAAGATTCAGACAATGAAAATATAAATTCATATATTTTATAAAATCAATCTCATTTATCAATGTAATTGAATATTAGTTTTGAATTTTATTTGGAGAAGATTCAAAAGTAAAAATTATCTTTAATTTTTTTATCATGAAATCAATAATTCTAAGAAATTAATTTAAATTTAATTTTTCACGTCAAATAAATTATTATTTAAATTATTATTTATTCAAGTGCGTCAAATTTACATCCGTCTTGTAACCGAATCCGCCTTTCTGCACCTTAAGCATTCGGATCGACCATTCTGAATATCCATTTTCTTCCTCTCTCTTTTCTTTTTTTATTTGCAGTGCGTATGTAGAGCAGAGTCTATAAAAATGAAGCATCAGAAGGTGGAGCATTTCCATGCTAATTATTTTTCATTATTTTCTTGAAGCGCCTCTCGTCTCGGCGGCAACAAGTGCGTCTCGTTTGAAACCCGCCAAAGTGTGTGTTAAACGCTTATTACCGCCTGCGAGCGACACACTGACCCATAATTCATCGAGACTTGCATCTCTCGAGTCTTGCTGGTTGCGCGAGAGCGAAACGAGATTGAGTAATTGCCTTGATTTGCTTAATTGAAGCGCTCGCTGTGAGCTGGTGTGCAATTAAACGGGCCGGAAAAAGGTGGTTAGTGGAGTAGAGACGCGCAAATTCTGCATCTCAATTGGATAATTTCATTTCTTATCAATACTTTTGCGACGTAAGAAAATTGCGCAACTGTGACATTGAATCAAAACTAACAATCATGAATGACAAGCAGGGTTTATTAAAACTGTTGCTTTTCCAGCCTGAGTCTTGATTTAAAACTGCAAAATATATATTTACTAAAAATAATTTTTTTTTATCAACTTTCATTTTAAATTTGAATTACACATTTAAATAATAATATAAATTAAAAACCATTTTTATTTACTTTAAAAGTTGTTCTTAAACACTGAAGACGAACCTTTTCATTCTTCAGTTGTATTTGAAAGCTCAACTTTCTTGGATATCAATCTTGTTGAATCTCCAGTTTGTGCACCGATCAGCTGCAAGCTCCACTTCTAAGCACTTCCTTGTCACTCCCAAGGCCGCGTTGACACACATTTTGCATGCAAAACAAACAACAAAGTCCTCCACCCATCCACTGACGTGCTTTTTTTCTTTTCATATGCAAAATCCGCACATAACGGAGAGAAGTCGACTCATCCTTTCTTTTCCTTTATAGGAACTGCTTTTTTCACAGATTAGTGCGAAGGTCTTGAAAAGTTGCGAAATGTCGGTCGACGAGTCATTCAGTCATTGTCAAATTCCCTTTATTCTAGTGATTAGATCTCTGACGAGATTTTCGCAAGGGCGTTTGATGTAAAGATTGCTAATCGATGTAGAGGCCTGACGTAACATTTTGAAGGGCAATTTGTACGGGTTAGTATTTTAAGAAAATCGAGACAAAAACCCTAAATTTAAAAAAAAAATACAGTTAAAAAAAACGAGTATTTTTTATGTAGCTTCTATTTTTAGCCAAATAATAAAACCGGTTTTCAAATTGGTCACATTGCTGAACCCCATTTTTATATCATTTTGTTTTGGAGCGGTAAAAAAGTAAATTAGCCTAAAATATTTTTGTTTAAAAAGTCCCTATCATCAGAAATTTTTTTTATAAATTGTATATAAGTGTTTGAAATATAATTAATAAATTTTCTTGTCTTCACATTTTTAATGCAACTTATTTAAATCAATTAATTAAACAATATTTTCAACATTTATTTACTTTTTAAATTTTATTGAAGTTAAACTGAGCAATGAAAATTAAAAGTGTGCTCGCTGAATCAAAGAGACGTGCGTGGTTTTGATCGAGCTTAGCATTCGGCTGAGCCTAAATACGGCGAACGCTTTAAAACCGGCCCTCGTTTTCGTTTAAAAGGGAAGACCAGAAGCGCACTCAGCAACAATCACTGCGAAAAGCGAGCCACGCCCATTTGATTTGTCTTGACATTAATTTTTTGCGCTGCACTTGCGTGTGCGTCTGGCGAATTTGGGAGCGCTGCCATAATATAGTAGGCTGGTGCCGTTAGTGGACGCCCAGCGAATGCAAATCGCCGCGTCGACCGACTTGCCCATAGCTGAAGGCGTTTGCCACTTGTAAATTCGCAAAAACCGTCGCGCTCAATAAGCGTCTCCCTGTTTGGCCCGCGATGTGATTCATTCGCAGAAAATCAGGCACACTTTTGCAATTGAAACGTGGGTTTTTGAATGGATTGTGTTCCGGTTTCTGTTTAGGTAAAATCGTTTACGACGTAACCCCATTTCTTCAATAATCTTGAAATGGAAGCTTTTGATTTATTTAAATATTTTAATTAATAAAAAAGGAAAAAATATTTTATATTTTAATATTTACAATTAATTTTTCTATATTTTTAAATTTAAATTTTTTATTTATAACAGTTAATCATTATGCATTGCTTTTAATTTAACGATGTAATTTCTCAGAGGCAAATTGACCCAACTTTAATTTTATTTTGAAGTTTTTAATCCGCTATTTAGTTATATCTTATTATTCTACAATATTTTATTATAATGTAAAATACACAAGAAATTTTTAGAATTTAATTTTCTCAAAAGTGTCGATTCCAAGTATACACTTTTCTTCCCTTCCGTGGTAAAAACCGAGCGAGACATTGAATCTCACTTACGCACTTTGTGACCTTTACGCTGAATTTCAACCGCAATCGCCGTCCTAAAATACGTGCGGGCACTTCCAACAAGCGCCGGGCGGGCGGACCTGTTCGCCAAATTGGCTCGAACCTTGATAATCGAGAGAGACCCATCCAAGGTGGGCAACCGACTCCTCTCGACGCTAATGCAGTCAAGTGGCTCGCGAGCAGCCCAGTCAGCAGCAAACACTCTGAAATTCGCTGATCGCCTTTTCAACTATAAATCACAAGATCCATTTCCTTAAAATTGGCACCGTAAAATTTGCGAAAAAAAATTTATTCATCTACAACGTATTTATTAAATTTTTCTGTTTAAACAGGGAAAACTGTTGAAAAATTAATTAAAACTAAATTAAATAAAATTACCACCGAAAAATCGATAAAAAGAGAATAAATTTCCATTTATTTTGAAGAATTCCTTTCACAAAATCATCTTACTTTGAAGGATTATAAAAGAAGAAAAATCTTCTCTATCCAAGCAATTAGGAAATATTTTACATTGGGCTTTTGAAAAGTTATTTGATTCTTCCGGAGATGGATGTTTCCCATTAATAAGATACAAATCTCATGGATCGTGACGATATGGTGATGATGATTTGTGTTCAACCGCGATTGTACCGTTTTGATTCTTTTTTCCTTCCAATCTGATTGTGTTGCTTGTGTGCTTGCAGGAAGGCGCGGCGGAAAGACAAAGAGGCGAGCGCCCCTGGTGAGGACCCCAAATTGTACCTGGAGGAGGCGGTGCTCGAAAGGAAGCACGGAGACCTCGACCTACGCACCCTCGTTGAATTGCCCGCCGGTCTCGATTATAACGAATGGCTCGCGTCGCACAGTGAGTGAATCAATCATTCCATGTCAATTATAGGTCGACCCAACGGTGATTCCTGTCCTGATCAAACACTTTGTGCTTGTTTTTCCTTCGTAAATAATAATTTTGGTAAAATAAAAACATAAATTTGCGAATTAATGATAGAGGAAGTGGGCCAATTATCCGAATCGCCAGCCCGTCACGTTTTTATTGCTACTAATTTCCTCATTTTTACAAACTGCTTTTTAATAGTCGCACGGATTTCAAGCAAGACTTCATTATAATAATTTAATACTTTGCAAAAAATAAACAAAAAAATCTTTCTAAAGGGAATTTACCGTGGAGTCGGAAACCGATTCTGTGTTAGAAAACCAATACTCTTAACACGAATGTTAATTCCAAAATTTTATCTTTTAATTGGAAGTCTCAATTCTTATTAAATTATTTAATTTTTTTTTAAATTTATTTGGATAATTATTTTTGTTTTTAGAGCATTGGTTTTCTCGCTCAGTTTTTTAATCAAAGTTACATTTCATTAAGAAAATTTGAACCGAAATTTGGATTCACTTTTATCACCACAACATAATAAAACACAAACTATTAAAACAATCAATAATTTTCTCAAATTAACATCTTCATATTTTGTTCGCAGCGATTGCGTTTTTCGACCATATAAACCTGATCTACGGTACAATATCAGAATTCTGCACTATGTCTGGCTGTCCTGATATGACCGGTCCCGGTCTCAGGTGAGTTTTGACTGACAAATAATATATCGAGCCACTTTCACTTTTCTCATTGTTAGCAGTAATAACTAATGTCCGTGTGTCCCCGTTTCAGAACGTATCTGTGGTTCGACGAGAAGGGCAAAAAGACGAAAGTCGCCGCCCCTCAGTATATAGACTACGTGATGACTTTTACGCAGAAAACTATTAACGACGAGTCCATTTTCCCCACCAAATATGGTCAGTATTGTTTTTGGTGAAAAAATTGAAACATTTAAAAAGTAAATTTTTATTATAGCAGATATTTTATAAAATTATTTCAAACTCTTCAAATAACATTTTCAAAATATTTTCTGATCATTACACATAAATAGAATTTCAAATAAGAATCAAATTATTTTATCAATTTTAATTAAATTACTTATAAACTGTTTTCCTTAACCAGATTTTTGCAAATTAGATGCAAAATTTTGTCTCAAACTAATTATTATTTTTCTGTAAAATAATTAAATTAAATTTAATATTAATTTGTTTTGATCAAATTTTGTTTTTCGTTTCTTATTGAATTTAAATTGCAACTGAACTTTGAACCTTGATTGCAGCTAATGAATTTCCAAGTTCGTTTGAGTCGCTGGTGAAGAAGATCCTGCGGCTGCTGTTCCACGTGGTGGCGCACATGTACCACAGCCACTTCAAGGAGATCATGCTGCTGAAGCTGCACTCGGAGCTCAACAGCGTCTTCACCCACATCATCCTGTTCAACGAGCGGTTCCACCTGATCGAGGAGAAGGAGACCGAAATTCTGCAGGACCTGGCGACGGCGCTGCGGGTGCACTCGGAGCCGCCCGAGCTGGCCGCCCCGCCACAGCGGCCGGCCAAGGACAACAACAACTGCGTGGACAGTGAAGGTGGCGCGAGAGACGTTAGCGGGGCCGCCCCCGCCCACCCCCAACACCACAGGCACGAGTCGCAGGGCGGGCCGCCCCCGGCAGGCCCCGCCATCCCGGCCAGTGGCTAGTGCGGCGTTGCATTGTTCCTCCTCCTCAATTTCCTACTTCTGCTGCTTGTCGCTCTCAAACAAAGTCGAGTTTTCACATTCGTAATTTTTATTTAAAAAGGGTGGATGACTTTTGGCAATTAGAGCGTTTTTTTCTCGACAATTCCAAAGCCATTTTTGTTTTTACGGACTTATTCAAACTTATTTAATGATAATTACAACAACAAAAATGTCCAACCCATTTGAATAGTAAAAATCTCGTGGCTTCGGTTTATTTGAAATTTGAAAGAGATTGCAGTGAGTTTTAACGGACACTGCAGTTGGAAGATTGTGTATTTTTTAGTCTCAGGAATTAAGTTTGTAAGTGTTTTTGGCTTCTCCTTTTTTTCAAACCAAGTCCTGGACTCTCACTGCAAAATCAAGTGGGGCTTTTTGAAGAAGAAAAAAAATATTTTGTTTGATGCGCTCATCTTTCTGCCTCGTTCCTCAAAGTACGGATTATTATAACCTTATTTACATTGATAGACTGATGAGAAATCAACAATAAGTAGACAAAAAAGATAAAAATTGTAAAACTAGGCAAAAGTGACAGAGACAGCAGCCGATAGGAAACCTGGGTAAATTGTTACTCTTTATTGTTGTTGTTGCTGTTGCATTTGTTAAAGCAAAAAGAGAGAAAAGAAGATTTTTGACATAAAGAGAGAGGGAGAGGATTCGAACGCAAGTGAAACGGAAGCAAAGTAGAAGATTTATTTACTGCAAAACAAAATCTGTACAGAATAACCTCCTTTGATGATTGTAACAAAAAAAATCACACTGCTATTACGCAATTGTATTTTTGGCGCTGACGCAAGATGAAAAATAATGAAATGCTGCACTCGAAGCTGGCATTAGTTTGTACCGCTACTACTACTAAACTCTGAAAGAAAACCACACACTGGATTTAAAAATAATTAATAATCATGAAACAGTCTAAGTCAATAATTGTAGTTGATCTTTAGTTGAATGGAAGAAAGAAAGGAAGAAAGCAAGTTCAATTACTTTCTCTGTGTAGCAAGATGTAATATTATAATATTCTCTTCTAAATTCAGACGAGACCCTTGAGATGGGAAAGAAAAATTCAAATTGACCTATGCCATTGAAAAATGAATAATGTAAAGGCGCCTTCGTTGACAAGCAAAGTATAGTCCTGTTCTTGCTGCGTAACTAACATTAATGCATACATAGTGATGTACTTCTCAAATAGACTGAGGATTTTAGTTCACTTCTTACAAGAGAAAAGCAAGCGCGAAATTCCTCAAGAGCACTGCTTTTGTGAGGCCTGTCGAAACGCAAATTCCTAGCCAGGTGCTGCTCCCAATCAATTCTGACCCGAGTAGAGTAAAAAATACTTAAACTTTAAAAAAATTAGATCTCAAAAACTTCTCCAAGTTCCAGCAGCACCTTAGAGCAGCGTAAATTTTGTTTAAACGTTTCGGTGGGTCCTTTTGAAGGCATGCGTGTGTAGGCAGAAAATTAAAATTTCACTCTAGACTAAAATGCAAAACACTTTTACACACACACTGAGAGAAGTCTATAAAAACATCAGTTTTGGCTAAAATTGAAATTGCTCAGCCTTGCCAAAAATGTTACATGATGTCGAAAGAATTTGGTAGAAAAGAACACTCAGCATAATTCATCTCCTCTCTGACAAAATCAATTGGAACTTTTGGTATTGAAAAACAATTAGGGAGTGTTTTTGTGTGTCGAATTTGCTCCCTTTTAGCTTCTTTCGGTCTAATATTAAGAAATTGGCCAAACCACCTAAAAAATGCAAGCAAGGAGAGTGCAAAAGAGCGTACATGGGGCATGTGATAATGGTCAGTGATAAAGATAATATATAAATATAAAAATATGAAGTTGTTGTTGTGCATATCCGCGAGCGGCCCGAATTCAAACTCGAGGTGGACGCTTGTGGTGAGAGATGAAAATCCTGTAGTCCATCCTCTTTCCCAGCATAACACAATGTGTGTATTTTACTTCAGCCACTAAAACTTAAAGAAGAAAATCGACCGACACACCATGTGTGCCGCTGTATACAAAACAATAATGATTTTTAACTTAACAATTAGTGTGATCATAATTGATGGAGAGTGAGTAGAAGAATCTTTTTGTTTTTAATTCGTTCGCGCCCATTTTTGTGTGTGAATGCGAGTGTGTAAATAATGCAATTTGAGATAAATAATTTATTTTAATTTCTTCGAGCTTCTGGTTTGTCTGTCTGGTGTGCAAGAAGGAAAAGGCAGGATAAAGTAATTTTCGCAAATTGTGCAAAATCCCTGTAATTCAAAGACACTTAACTGCATGCAAAGATCTCACAGCAATTTGAATCGACAATTAACAATCGGCTTGCTTGCATAATTATGTTTCCAAGGAAGCAAGTCTTGATCTAAAAGCGATGAGAATTAATTTTTCCACAAGTCCCAAGTTGCAAAAACTACCTCGTTGCGAACAAAGTTGAATTTTCGGCACCTTCAATTATGAAAACACTTCTTAATCCACTCACACACACACTTTTGAAACTAAAAAAAGCATATCAAGATCAAGAGTAAAATACCTAATCCTTGTTAATTAAACACGTTTTTCTCAAACTTTTGTCGCATGTGTAAAATAAATTAGCCTGGAAATTATATAACAAAGAGAAAATAACAAAGCATATTTTAGAAGACAAATAAGCAGTAAAATTTAAACATGAGAAAAAAAAGCAAAAATCTGGACTGTTTCTAAAAAAAAGAGAGAAAGAGTGTGGCTAATATAATGAGTATTTTTTAAAAAAAAAGTATAGCAAGATTTTGAGGGAAATTAAATGATTTTCATGTTGAGAGTGCACTTCTTGCATTAGAGTAATTAAAATCTTTCCCCGTTGGGCTTGGACTTAATTGTTGTTTAATTAGGAGTTTGTCCCCCACTCTGTAATGACACACCCTACTTTGACTTCTGTGTTAGCAAACGATTATACATTATACTTGAGCGTAATCTATTATACTTTTCTCTTTGCTGAGGCTGTGTTTATTGGTTAAAGTTTCGCGCGCGCGTGTGTGTTTGTCAACTTCCACATCCCACTAATTCAATGTGCTGCGTTTTGGAAGAAAAAAACTCGATCGAAACCATTTGTTTGTACTAATATTATAAACTTGAGAAATAATGCAAAAAGTGGATGTGTTGGTTGATCAATTAAATTAAAATATATATGACTTGATGTGCAAATGTGTGAGGAGTGATACGATTTCAATTTTGCCTTACAAAGAAGGTATGTTATTATTAAATATTACGATTAGAAGATGAATAATAATGCTGTAAAAAGAGAGTACTTAGATTGAGAAGTAAAATAAAAATAAATATGTTTCCTACAATTCTACAGTTTTATTTAAGGATAAACTAAATTCATCAATCCCATAATTTAGATGAAATTTTATATAATTAATTAGTTACATTCTAAAACAAGACAAGAAGTTCGTGAAAAAAAAATTCTTTGAAGATGCAACAAAATTTATTTACTGTAATAATTTTTTATTTCATAATATTAAATGTTAACAAAATAAGAATCATTAATATTAATATTGAGGTAATACACAAAAATCTTGACTTAAATTGATTGTTTTTAAACTAAATATATTTTGAATTTTGATGAATAAGTTTTACATGGTATCGTTGGAGCGTTGAAGAAAATAATAGTGAGCAGGAAAGTTAACTCTGCCCAAATGTTGTTCAACAATGAATAAACAAAACAGATTGGTCTTGTTATTTGCTTCTGCTCTCTTGAAATTTCCTAATTTTCAAAGTAAAGAGAAATGCATAAGATAAGAAGCGTCTTTTAAATAATGAGCGCTAGATAAGTTGTTATTAAACTATGAGCTTGACGTTGCATTTTCCCCAGTTGCAGTCTTCGTAGCCGCAGCCAGTTCTGGCCAGGGTGCAATGGACACACAGCGAGGCTTCGTGAGGGCAGCAAGTGAAGAATTTGGCCTCGTCACTGCCACAGATCCGGCACTTTCGCACCCAGGCCAGAAGAGCATTCTGCACTAAAAATCAAATAATAAACTTTGAAATTAATAATTATATATATTAATTTATTAATATTACATTTTTTATTTGAATTTGTTTAATTTTGGATTTGTAAATTATAAAAAAATTCAGAATAAATATTTAACATTCTTATTATTGTATATTAATTTTTACACACCTTTCATCAGTATGTTGACCTTGGCAAAATCATTAATGAGGAATTTGTAGCGTTCGTGATTACTTGGAAGGTTTTGCATCTGGTCATGCAGGACTTCTCCCAAACTTCCTTCCTGGAATTTGTCGCCAGAACTCATCACCACTTCATAGCCAAAAGTTTTGATGAATCTATCAAGTTTCGGAGGAATCTCGGCCTCAGTTAACTGTAAAAAATAATAATGCATTAAATAATTATTTTATTGGTATTATATGATGAGGCATTTTATTAATTAAATGCAACTTACTTTGGCATTCAACAATTGCCGAATTTCTTCCACAAGCTTTTCTTGAGCAGATGAATCCAAAGGCAACAGGCTCAGGTCAGGACTGCAGCAGTTTTATTTTATTTTTTTTTAAATGCGAAACTTCAATTAAAATTTATAATAACAAATAAAAATTATAATTAAGATTTTACAGATAGCCTTAGCTTTCAATTTCATTCAAAAATGGGCTAAATAAATGTATCAATTATTTTGTAATAATGAGCATAATTCAACTGGTGTAAAATTCATAAAAATAATTGTCATCTTTTTATAGCAAGTCTTTTTTATAGCAAGTACTATAAAAAAGATGACAATTTTTTTTTGCAAATTGCAAAAAGCGGGAGCGCCGGGAGCAGATAAGATGAGTAAGAGGCTCTAACTAAGGAATAGTTCAACTAATTTAAGAGACCGCAAGGACATTTGATCTAAATCTAAATAATTCAAATTTTTCACTTATTTCACAAATAATTGGAATGCCCGCAAGAATTGCTGAGATGACAAAATCTACGTTTTGATGAAGTGAAAAGAAAAATAATATGTTGAAGAGAATAATGCTGCATTCCGTTAAAATAAAATACCAATAATTTTGTATTACAAGAAGAAGAATGTGTGGATTATTTGAATTCCGGCAATTTTTTCTTCCAAAAGCATGTCATATGCATAATATAGAAAGGAGGACGTGAAGTAAAAAAATTAATCAAATTAATATAAACTATGCATTAAAGTGTCGTTTTATGTGTATTTGTTTTGAATTATGGACAAAATCAATAAATTAGTGTAACAAAAATCACACGCAGACCTAAACCTAACTAACGTTTTCCAAGCAAAACAAAATAAAAAATAATACTAATTTGAAAAAAATTGCCATAATTGGTTAGGGAGCCAAAAAAGCAATTTTATAGTAAAAAAAAATGGCTGAAACTCAAAATCCCAAGTATTTTATTCTAAACTGACTAGATTATTTATGAGAAAAATTTGCATATTTTACATTCAATTAATAATAAATTCTTTCGTTATTATACCTGGGTGAATCCATGGCAAGTTGTTTGAGTACCAAATACTGCGAATACAGCCGCGAGAAGGTGACCTGCTCTTGCCTCAAGTGCGCTGCTCGGTGTGGTGCCGCGCTGGGCCAAAACTCCCACTATCGAAGAATCAGGCGCTTTGCTGCAGCGCAGACCCTTAGTTTTTAACGCGAAGCGAACGATTGAGAATTTTTGTTGTAATTTCTTAATACACGATAAAATCTGATTAAATCGCATTCACCCAAAACAATTGATGAAATTTATCATTGTATATTACACAGAACCTAATTTTTATTTTTATATGATCAAGAATTGCGTTAGAAAAATAGTAAGCGGAAGCTAATATTTTAATATTATTTGTGGTTCAAATGAAAGTGACTAATACGTGTGTTTACGATTTTCAGAAAAATAAATGCAGTTATGCACGCACACCATTGAAAATTAAGTTGGAAAAGGACTTTGGTTCCGCTCTCTGGTCACGCGCGCATTCATAAATTTACAATTGAAATTATGTATTGTGAAACTTATAGAGCCCATAATGCTCTCTGTATGCAAAGCGATAAAATAGTAATTCCATAATACAGTAGTAACAATATTATTGCCATAATTAGTTTTTAATAGCTGGAAATCCAGAGAGAACCGATTTTTTGTTCTAATGGTAAGATTAGGCTTCGAATCAAAATCATTTCATTATGCAAACGGCATTTATTTGCAATTGTACATTAATTTCAAATTGTGAGATGAATCAAAGGAATAAATGAAAGATTTAAGTAGACAATAATACTATTGTTTTCTTGACAATCAGCTGAAAATTCATGTTTGTTTAATCATAAAGATTTATATGATCTTTTTTTATCTAACTGGACTATTCTAAAATCCTCTTTTCCCTTTTTATTTTATCATTCTGCAATTTTCTTCCCAAGGAAAATCATGTCATTACTTTTATTTCTCAATGTGCAACGTAGCCAAAGCTATAGTCATTACATTTAAAACATCTCTAATCTCGACTGCGAAAAAATCAACTTTTAGTATAGCATAATTTTCATTAATAATTTACAAATTCAAAGTAATAAACTGCGTAATTGATAAAAGATAAAAGTTAATTTGTCTAGCATTACAAAAATTTGCATTATTTCTTCTCAATATTCAGTCAGCAATTTGCATCCTATCCTTTTAATATCTGCCCTTTTTGCCAATGTGATCCTCGCTCAGGGTGATGCGCACCTTCTTGGATCCAACAAAGCTGCCATTGAGGTAGTTGATGGCAGCACTGGCAGAAGCGACGTCCTGCATGGTGACCAGGGCATAGCTTTTCCTTGTATTCCAGCGGCTCCTGATGATGGAAATGTCCAGCACGTGTCCAAACTGTCCAAAGATATTGTGGAGCTCAATTTCGTGGATAGTTGGATCCAAAAAGTTGACCTGGAGGACGATCCCTGGCTGGCGCCTGGGAGCGAAATTGGCAAAATGTGTGCCCTCAGCCATGAGCGCATGGGATCTTTTGGCGAACCTGATGGTCAGGGGGGCAGTGCAGTTCTCGAGGATGACCCTGTTCAGGGTCTTCATGGCCATTTCCGCTTCCTGGTGCAGGTTGAAGCGCACGAAACCGACGCCTCGAGGCTTCAGATTTTGGTTCAAAAGCAAGCGAGTGCTGACGATGGTGCCGTACGGGCTGAAGAGTTGTTCCAGATGGTCAGAGGTTTCCACCCAGCTAGGCAAATTGCTCACATACAAGTTGGCATCCTTGATTTCCTTGCAACTCGGACGAGCAACAGACACCTTGATGGAGCCAAAAAAGATAATTTTATTTATAAATGAAATATTAAGCATTATTTAAAAAAAAAAAGTACCGAATTTTGTTTTTGTATATAAGAAAATATCAAAAGATGAGTGAAATGGAAAGGTGGGGTTTTTGAGCTAATTAATTTTATTTGTTTAAAAGGCAATCGTTGGAAAAGTGATAGTTTTCATATTTAAAAGTGAGTGCACACAACAACCTAATCTTTTCATTTCACATACCTTTTTTGTTGTTTATAATTTATCAAGTATATTTCCATTCATTTACAAAAAATTACATATATATTATTTTGATTTGCTATTGATAATGTGATTTCCAAATTGAATTTATGTACAACCTAAACCACATAATTCATTATAAATTTTTATAGAAAATAATTATACCTTGATCTCTTTGTTGCAAATTCTCAAACCATTCAATGTTTGTATAGCCTTGGCCGCACTTCCAGGGTCAAAGAACTTGATGAAGCCGTAGCCCAGGCTGTTGTGTGTAATAGGGTCACACACAAGTTTGACACTCTCAATAGGGCCGAGGGCTGCAAACATCCTGCCAAACTCCATCTCGGTCATTTCTGCGGGCAGGTAGTTGACGATCAGGTTGCAGTTTTGTTTGCCCCTCTCATCATCACACGAACTTTGAATCATTGACTTGTCTGTCAATGAAGATGAGCAAACGGAACTGGTCCCTTAAAAAAAAGAAATCAGTTTAATCAAAAAAGAAATAATATGGTACTGGGATAGAATATACTTTCTGTGCTGTCCCTACTAGTTTGAGGATAGAAGGCATTGGCCCAGTAGTTTCCATTGCCATTGTATGCAACTTGGTGAGGAGACACTGGATAGGAATTCATGTGGCCTGTTTATAATTGTGAAATTATTATTTAATTGTGAACACAAATTTTGCTGTAGATTGAAAATACAAACTTTGAGATGGTGATGTGATTTGCGTTGGTACCATATATGGAGATTGTTGATGCTGATGCTGCAGAGGGTAAATTGGAGGCATCGAGTTGGACCCCCCGACAACAGGATTGAAGAAAGGGTAAAAGTGGAGGCCCTGTTGGAGGCTTTGGTGTGCAGCGCTCATGTAACTCATTGCAAGAGGAGAGGATTAGCACAATGAGACGGACTTGTTGACTTTCCTTATCTTCCTGTTTCTCTGGTATAATTTCTCTTTTATGCAGTTATTGCGGATGCACTGTTTGTAAAACAAAAAATTAATAAATCAAATCAAATTGTATGTATTTATGGTGAACTCACACGTATGATGCGCATGAAACCTAAAAAGAAACTGAAGAAACAAAGCTTTATTAATGACTTAACTTGATCATGAGAGCTGCAAGACTGAAATCGAAGTGTTTCCGCAATAGCCGACAGCCGACCAAAAGCCAAATTGAATTATCAAAATCATATCAAATCGAAACAAGTTTCAGCAAGTTTCAACCGTACTTTTTGCCGGCAATGCTACTAAGGTGGATGCTGATTGGCTTTCAGGAAAATCAATCACCAATGGCAGCGCGAGACCGTCTCGACTCCGGATGGGAGAAGGAGAAGGTTCATTTTTCCTACATAATTTTTTTTGTTCATTCTTGTTTTTACACGTTCTTCGTTCTTCGAAGCATTTGCTTTGCAGCAACAAAAAGGGACACAAGAGTGGGCCAAAAATGGTTTTTAGCGGGCTTTTCTACATAGACAGTATAGACACCTAGCGGAATGATCTGGTAATACAAAGTGGACGTATTTTTATGCACGCCCCTTACCCCTTTAATTCAAAAAAATCTTTGTTTTTGAATTCTCTAATACATAAAGTAAAATTACTAGACAAAGGAATTTTCCGGTCATGCCTACAATTTAGGGCCCTATTTTTCAGACTCGTAGCATCGTCAGAAGTGTGTACGGTAAAATCATTTCATAAATTTCAAAGAATTTCTAAAAGAGAAATCATATCATTCACAGTAAAAATCTACATACACATAAATTTTAATTTCAATTTCAACTAAAAATTTCTCATTCTTTTAAATTTTATCGAAACTGGATTTCTTTGCAGAAAAATGTTCCTTCGTCACTCTGCCCGCGGTTCTCTTTCTCTGTTGCCACTCTTGTCAAAGTTGATATTTCCTGAAACATTGGCACCATCATCGAGGAGCAGAGCGATTTTCAAGGCTTCGAAAATCACTTGTTGGCAGTGCGGAGCTGACAAACCGCTGGACAATTTCTTCTGCAAAAAATGCAGTGCCCTGCAGGAACCCGACCACACATCGTCGTACTTTGACGTTCTCGGAGTTGAAAAGAAATTTGACTTGAAAACTGCTGAGCTGACCAAGAAATTCAGAAGCTTGCAAAGTCTTGTCCATCCAGATAAATATGGCAGAAAATCTGAGGTACCATTTTCTTTTAAGTTTCAATTTTTATTAATTGAGAATTCACAGAATGAAAAAGAAAATTCAGAAAACCACTCAGCCCTGCTCAACCAAGCATACAAAACTCTATTAAAACCAATGGACAGAGGACTATATCTTTTAAAGTTGGAAGGCCTTTCTATTGAGGAGGGAACGGTGCAAATGGACTCTGAATTTTTAATGGAAATCATGGAATTGAACGAGGAGCTAGAGTCGGCAAGCTCGAGTGAGGCTGTTTTAAAGTTAGCTGAGGCAAATAACAAAGTGATCAACCAATACACCAAGTATTTGTATTTTAAACCTTTGCAATGAGCAAATAATAGTAACTGATGCAAAATTTTAGAGACATCGATGCTGCCTTCGAGGAGAAAAACTTGGAAAAGGCCAAGCAGCTGTTGACCAAAATGAAATACTATTCTAGTTTTGAAGAAAAAATCAAAGAGTTGAAACGAAACTTGGGTATTGTTTCTTAAATTGATAAATTTAGAGAAAAATTAAATTTTATTGTTTGAACTATAATTACGAGTTATTCTTCACATACTGCTCAACCCACGCTGTGATTTGTTCAACATTGGACTCCATTTCTTCTGGAGTGTTGCTTGGCAACTGGTGGACAATTTCGGCTTGATAGGATTCTTGAGCTTCTTCCAAAATCGTTTGAAAAATTTCACACTGGATATTGTCATCTAGTTTCTTCCCACTGTACCCTCTAAAATTTTACTCTTTCATTAGAATTTAGTCATGAAACTGAATTTTGCACCTTTGTCTTAATCTGTCAAAAAGTTGAGTGTTGTCTGTACGGAGGACAAAAACGATGTCGAACCACCGCTCGGGAAAAAAGTCGCAACCATGATAGTCGACAATTCTGCCTCCTTCGCTCATTTTTTCTTCTAGCTCATCCAACAACTAAAAGTAATAAAAACGTTAAGAAAACTTCAAAATAACGAAATGAAGCAATACTTTATCTTCATTGAGCACTGGACATTTGTACTCTTCATCGAACTCATCAAGGCAGTCATTTTCCTTTGCAAAAGCTCCAACTTGGATCCATTCTAATCCCGTAATTTCCGCCACTTGTTCACATAGAGTAGATTTTCCAACGCCGGGAGTTCCTAAATTACAAAATTTTTAATTTATTTAAATTGAACACACGTAAGTACATGGTGTAGAGAAAATAAAATTAGATTTTATTGTTTCTGCAAGATTCAATTTTAAAATTCCACGTACCAGTCACTAATATGTTTGGTTTGCATCTGTTGCTCGATGACATGGTGCTAATATGAGTTTGAGCAAATTTTACGAAAGATTAAAATAAAAGCTGAAATTTCAAATTACATAAAGTTCTTTTTTTTCTTAATCTTAAGACACGTGTGTTGGCGTTGGTGTGTCTGTGTTTACCTTTGCTAAACTTTTTGTTTGAAAGCCACGCCCCTTTACGCATCGACCGGACACCGGACGACCGCAGCGCTATACAGCGGTTGCCTGCGTTACTAATTTAGCATTTGCGTTTGCGTGGTTGTTTATGTTGTCTTTTGTTCACGAAATTGTTGATCAACTTTCTCTGCCCTAAATTTTAAACAAAGCTCCCCGCCTTAGCAAAACAAAAGGGTTAAAATATGCATTGAAGTATAGACTTGAAGGTAAAACTTAAACTTGAGTCATAGATTTGTAAATAAGAATAAAAAAGTCATCTTAGGGCTTTGGCCGGGTGGGCCGGGTTTTAGTTCGGTGGCCCGAACGAAACGCCCCAAACTACCGGGCATAACTCTGAAGTCTAACAAATTACACTGATTATCTTTGTATCTAAACGGAATATTCCATTGCAGTTGATCTACAAGTGCGTCGAATGCTGATCAACCAAAAATTTCCCCAACTGCGACTCAATTGGCCCATCTGTGCGACATAAATCTCCTTCGTTGGTTCATCAATGGATAGCGATGAGTTCGACTTTCTACTGCCTGAGTTGATTATGGAGTTCAACAACGTCCAGATGCACCCAAGACGCAGATTTCGTTTTGAACGTCCCAGATTCGCAGAACGCATGATTCAGGAAGAGGTGGAAAGGGCTCGAGCTGCCGTCAGAGAAAACACTCTCATCAAGTGAGTTGATCTTGGGTATAAATAAGCTGAAAATGGTCTTGACTTTTAAACTTTTGCAGTGTTCCATTCTGCAGTGGGACGGTCGGCACGCTGAAAAATGAGCTTGTGGGTCTCAGAAAAACTGGCAAAACTGTGGCCACTTTGGAAATGATGAGTGCAAATTTCATACTGCAAAACCAGGCGTATTTTTGCCATGGCAGACATTCTGTGGGCAATCTTTGTAAGTTTGTTTATTTTAATAATTTTTTTTATCATTTTGTGAAATTTTTGTTATTTGCAGCTCCCTCAATGCAGCGGACTTTGGTGAAGGCAATCCTGAACAGGTTCGGCGTCAGAGACTCGCCCGTCTACTTCGATTTCCTGAGTTCCCTGCTGAATTCCAACACTTGGATGTTCAATGATTACCTAATCTCTTACTCAATGAACTATTTGGCTATCCAGAATTTACTTTTGGACAACTGCTGCAAACTGCAGGAGCTATATTTGAATGGCACTACGAGTGCTAACCTTATTTATCTTCGTAGAGACTTTCTGCCCAATCTGCAAGTTTTGCACTGCCCTGGATTCACTCTTGATAACCGAGATCTGGAAATCCTTTCCGGACTCACTCATTTGAGGTAAATAGCCATTTTTGTGGGAAATATAATAAAAAAATTGTTGATTTTTAAGTGGGAAAATCAATGCTAATTTATTCTTGAATGAAAACTTAATAAAACTCGATATGATGTTCAAATCTGAATTTTATGATAAGCAATTTATCTTAAAACCTCTAATTAATTGAATTAATTTTGAGATTTAGATAATGAGAAATCATTCGAAATTTTAATTAAAAAACTTAATATTTTACAGGGATTTGATGATTGAAATTGAGGCAAGTGTAGGTGAATTGGGAGTCTCGCACTTCTCCAAACTGAAGGAGCTCGAGCAACTGAAATACAGAGTCGTCCAGCCATACTTGCAGAGGGGCAACGGAATTGACGAGCGAATCGCTGTGCTCTTTTTCAAGTACGTGCCACAGGCACACATCAGTCTGATGTGCGACGTCCAATGCGGCAAAGTCTCGTACGCTCTCTGGACCTTTTTCCAGCACAATCCAGTCCGGCCGATGGGCCAGAAGTGCGTCCGGCTGGTGGACATGGTCGACCAGCACCGTGACCTTGGCCGCCTCTTGCCCAAAATTGAAAGTCTCTACATCGCCAACAAGTTCCAAGAATTCACTCCCGAAACCATCGGACCACTGTTGCATTTCCCCCAACTGTCCCAGCTCAGCTTTTCCAACACCTCTGTCCACCTGTGCCACTTGTTTTTCGAGGGCTACGGCCAGCAGTTGGTCGAGCTGTCTATCAAGGAATGTTTCACGCACACCGAGTGCACCAGTGATATGGACCTGAGTCTCCTCTTCGCTCACTGCCCCAACCTGCAGAAAGTCTCACTCTGCTGCAATTTCTCCCAGGAGCTGAACCACCCCCTCCGACAGACCAGTTTTGACGCTCTCCACTGTATCGAGCTGGTCAGTTACGGAGGCAGAGAACCCCCAAGCAGTATTTGTGAGATGGTGCTGAAGGGTAAGAGTCTGCAGAGCTTTTTGGTCACCGCCGAACTACTCAACCTGGTCAACGCTGTACCGGACGACTTTCGTTTCAACTTTCTCAACATGGTGTCATTCCGGGTAAGTGACTCCGGGGAAGAGGGCTCTGTGCAGGATATACAAAATGGGCTGTTGAAATTGGTGTTCCTGTCCCCCAAACTGGAAAAATTGGCTGTTAACTTTGGTGATCACTTTGCTGCGCGGCAGGCGTGCCTGCCCGTCAAGTATGTCTGTCAGGGAGTTTTGAAAATTGAATTCCTGTAAGTCCTCGGATACCTGTGCATTATAAAGAAAATTATCAAGTCTTATTTACTTTGAAATAGCAATTTGATGTTCTATTTGTCAATTTCAATTGATGGAAAATATATATGATATAATATTTCTGTTGCAATGAATAATATTGTTTGCTTCCTTTGCACACCCTCAGTCAGAGATGTTAATTTAAAAAATCTAACAACAAATACACTTAACAAAAGAATGGCCAGATATTTGGCAGGACCTTTGTTTAGAATGTTTAGATATTACAGCCTTGAAAGTGATATTAAAAATTAACTGATAAGGAACTTGTGAAATAATTGAAGAACAACTCGGGTCTTCATTTCATTAGGTCTTCATGAGATTACACGCAGCAGAATCAAAAAGGTTTATTTAGACAGATGAAATTGATGATAAATAATATGCATCTAGATTGATAATAGTTCTGTACAAATATTAGAGTCAAGGGCAAAGAGTGGAGTGAGATGCGTTTCTGCTCGGACCCCACACTCCACAATTGTGCTTCACACGCACCAGTTTCCCGTCACTCTAGCTCTTCGACAAATATTTTAACGTTTGACTCACACTAATTTTAATCATGGCAGACGACATAAGAGCTCTTGTGACCCTTGATGAACTTTCAAAGGTGGTTCGGCAGATTCACAAAGGATCGGAAGAAGTGGAGATTTTGGCGTACGACGTGGAAAAAGGTACAACCAGCGTGCAGGGATTTTTATCAAATATTCTGCGGGTCACGATCCATTTAAAGGTTGGTGGTGAAAAATCGACTTTGAAAATTGTCATTAAACGGAAGCCATTGCTGGAGAGCCAATTGTCCATGGTGGACGAATTGGAGGTGTTCGAACACGAAATTGGCATTTTCCATCACTGCGCGCCTATTTTACGCCAACGGTGCCCCGATTTGCCCGCGGTCAACTGCTACTTAACGGATTCCGAGAATGAGATAATTTACATGGAAGACCTTAAGGAGCAAAATTACGTCGCTCTCATTCGCTGCATTGCGGATCTGAAGGAAAACATCCTCACTAAGGAGCACGTGGTTCTTGTAATGAAAACCCTGGCTAAATTTCACAGCGCCTCCGTCGGCATAGATTGGCTCAAAAAATTTCCAAAACTATTTGACGAAGATGTCATGTTTGAGAAAAGTGACGGCACTTTGATGAAGAAATTTGTTCGTCAGTCGGCCGAGAAGTCGCTCATACCCATCACCGAGCACCACTTCAAGGGAGACGAGTATTTCCTCAAAAGTTCAAAATGGTTCGCCACAGAGGATTTTTACCAAACGCTGATCGCCGTTTGCAAACCCGACCCGAGAGGATTTAACGTCCTTTGCCACGGTGACAGCTGGGCGAATAACATGATGTTTAAATTAGATCCATCCACCGGAGCACCACTGAAAATAAAACTGATCGATTTTCAGCTGTCCAGATACACGCGCGCCAGTCGGGATCTGATGTATTTCATTTACATGTGCCTTAATGCAGGCGTGCGGAAGGAAATTGAACACGAAATCCTGGAGATTTACTGGAATGAATTTGAAAAGGAGTGTTACGAGAAAGGAATAGAGATGTTGGATTTTACGTACGAAGATTTCTTGGCCGATTACGAGGAGAACAAGATTTTCGGACTTATGATGGCGGCGGTGATGCGCCCAACCATTTATGTGAAAGGCACGTTCCCTGACGAAAATGAAGAGCTCTCTGATGATCACATTAACACTATGATGGACGGAGGAAGTGAGACGGTCGACACCCTAAACGAGTTTAAAAGCAATCCAGAATTCAGAGAAGAAATGATTAGTATCATAGAAGATATTGCTAAAGTGTATCACAAAAGATTTTAAAATTGTTAATTGTTACCAAAATCATCAAACGTTCTAAATTATAATATTTGATGCAAATTATTTCAAATTGTACGCTTAAATTTTTGAAGACCTTTTAAAATATAATATTTAAATTTCTTCTATTGCTGAAGCAAAAAATTAAAAAGAACTGAAACAAATTGTTGAAAATCACTTGGCGTTTTAAAATTTAATTTGTAATTGAAAGTTGAGAGTAAATTTAGCTCAGAATGAAGTTGATAGATAATTAAATAGAATCTTAAAATCAGTTTCCTTACCTGAAATGATGTGTTTAAAAACCTGTTCCATTAAAATGAAAAAAATAGAAAATGGTAACAAAATATATATACCAAAAATGGAAAAAACTAAATAACATTTTATTTTTATAGCAACAATTTACTCATTCACTTTTAAATAATGCTAAGTAATATATCACCGGCGGAAGTTCTCTGTCTATACCATTCCATTCTTAAGTGCGTCGCGCCACGGCCAACACTTCCGCGCTGGTAACAAGTGCAAATTTCCCTTCACCTTCTCACATACAAACACTTATCGCGGGTCTGCCAGCAAGCTGCGAATATCATTGATCAGTATATGAAAATTAAGTACCTCTTACTTAAAACAAGTTTGCCTTGAGCTGAAATTGAGCGTGCACACTCCGGTAATATTTTATCTTTTTGTAATCAAAAATAATTTAATTGACTAAATTAAAAAGAAATTTCCACCCTTGACTCTGCAAAAATAATTTAGATGTTTGCTTGACTGTAGTTCATATAACATAAAGCATTATCGATTACAATTTTCAATGTGAGATATATAATCATTATGAAAAATTTTAATAATACATCCACGGGCCCAAAGCTCAAATAATTATTTGACTTCAGCGTGGAAAAAGCTACCGGCAGCATGGAAGGGTTCATGTCAAAGAGTTCTCAAGAAGACAGGTTTGTAAGGAGATATTAGAGTAAAAAATAATCACCAAAAGAAAACCGCTTATGCTTCAAAATCAACTGCCCATTAATAGTGAATGAAATGGAAGTATTCAATCACAGTATTAATTGTTTTCATTGAAAATTTTGCACCGATTTTTAGAAAAAATTGCACAAAAGTGCGTTTTGTCATAATTATATTTTTTCACACATTCTGCAAATATATTAGTAGGAATATTAATGGAAGACGCTTGTTTCATATTTTCAATTAAACCAAAAATTTTATTCATTTTATTATTTTTTTATTTTGGTTACATTTAACCTCTTTTTGTATTGTGTAATTAATGATGCAATATAAGAGCAATCAATAAGAAAGTAAATTGTTCAAATAACTGATTAGATAATTAACTGCAGTTGGCTCCTGTACTGCTTTCATAAAGCAAAAGGAAGCGCACCGTCATACATGTAATTGATATTTAAGAAACGCAAATACAGTTCAAGGGCAGACCTCAAGTGCTCCCACAGTAGAGTATGAGCTTTAATTTATATTCGCAGCAGCATTACATTCATGGTCAGTGTACGGTATAGCAGCCGCAGAGAATGGCAGAGGAGATGAGAACGCTCGTGGCCCAAGAGGACGTTGCGGCCGTCGCAAAGTGCATCCACGGACCCGACGCGGAACTGCTTGAATATGAAGTGGAAAAGGCGACTGTGCAGGGATTTTTGTCCCAAATTCTCCGGGTTATCATCAAGGTGCAGGTTGGTGAGCAAAATTTCACCTCAAAATTTGTTGCCAAGCGACCGCCTAATTTAGAAAGCCAGATGAAAATGGTTAACGAATTTGGAGTTTTCAAGCACGAAATTGGCATTTTTGAACGATGTGCGCCGATTTTGTGGAAGACCTGCGCTGACCTTCCGATGGTCAAATGCTACCTGACGAAGGAAAATTTGATATACATGGAGGATTTGAAGGAAAAAGGTTTCGTCGCTCTGATCCAATCTTTTGTGGATTTGAGAGAAGACGTGCTCACAATAGAGCACATAAAAATGGGAATAAGGACACTAGCGAAATTCCACGCTGCGTCTGTGGGTGTAAATTGGCTCGAAGAGTTTCCTGATATTTTCACTGAAGATGTAATGTTTGAAAAAAGTGATATTATGAAAAATGTAGTAAAGCAATGTGTCAAGAAAATTGTCGTTCCCATAACCAAGCATCATTTCAATGACGAGAAATTTGTTAAAAGCTCAGAATGGCTCGCGTCCGAAGAAAGCCTCAACGTTTTAACAGAAATCTGCAAACCCCACCCGAAGTTTTTAAACGTCCTCTGTCATGGAGACAGTTGGGCCAACAACATGATGTTCAAATTCGACCCTGAAACAGGAAATCCACTCGAAATAAAGCTGATAGATTTTCAAATCAGTCGTTACGCACCTGGCAACCGAGATCTGATGTATTTCATTTATGTTTGCTGCACCCCAGATTTCAGAAAAAACTACGAAAAAGAATTGCTCAATACGTACTGGAGTTTTTTCACAGAAGAATGCTCTCGGCATCATTTTGAATTGACGCATACATGGGAGCAGTTTTGCGACGATTTTGATAGCATTCGACGTTTTGGCTTGATGATGTCGGTGATAATGCGACCTGCCATCTTTATGGACGGCGCCTTTCCTAAGGGCAAAGAGGAACTCACAGATAAACAGTTTCAAACCATGATGGACGGTGGCAGCGGCGAGGAACAGGCCATCATGACGTTTGAAAATAATCCAAAATTTCGCGCTGAAATGATCAGTGCAATAGAAGAGGTAGCGGAATTGTATTATAGGTGTTACAATAATTAAAGGGTGTAATTTTTTTGGAATTTTAAAACCTTAACCTGACAATAATAATATGTAATTATTGACATAAAAAAATGTGTGATGCAATATTAAAAGAATAAACAGACTTAAATGAATTGAAATTGTCATGATATTTAATTTCAAACCATAAATATAATATGAATGTAATTTTGATAATAATTTTTTACAAAACACCAAAGATATTTTTGATCAGTAGAAAAATTTATTATGAAACACAATAAAACTTAATGAAGCAATAACTTGACTCTTTTTCAGTAAAAGTGTAGATAAATCTTAATCTGAGAAATTAAAATGAAATCTATAATTTTAATTTTTTTTAATACAGTTGAGGGTTGAGGATCATTCAAAATTCAAATATATTTATAAGTTTAACGCTTCCCAAAAAAATTCATTTCAAATTTCTGCAGAGAAAAATTTTTCTAAAAATTAATAATAGCGTTGTGAGTTTTTTTTGAGAAGCTTGGTTCAGGTAAATTTGCAATTAATTGAAAGTGCAGAATGATGAAACCAATCCCATAAGGTATACTTAAAATTTAATCAAACAATATAAATAAAAAATAACCAAATCAGAAATGTTTTATTCGTCAAGCTTTTTGCCAGCGCCCCTCATACTCCTCCTTGCATCAACGATTTCACTCCAGTCAGCAACAGAGAGGTCTAGGTCTAGCGCCTGCAGAAGTAACGGAGTTGTGACCCGCATCGCATGGACGCTTGACAGGTTGCATAATACAAAGAGAGCTATATTTTGTGCGTCTATCGCATTCATTTTCACGGATTGGAATATGCAAACGTGTGTTTACGATCCGGCAATTTCTGGTATTTAATTATGTGAGTTTCCTCTTATTTAGCCTGAATATTCAAGACGTGTAATAATTCGAATCTGTTAGATTATTAATCAGATATAGATTGAAGCCGGATTGAAGAAAAGAACACACATTTTCATAAAGCATTTTCTTGAGACTACAAGCGAAAGTTTTGTATTTATTCAGTTGGGCGCCCTTGGAAGCTTCCGCTCTCACCACATTTCTTACCGTCACTGACCTTAGTGATCTTTTTCTTTTTACTGTTATTCTCAAACAAAATCTAATTTTTTATATATTGTGCAACTCAATATTCAATATAAGTATTAGTAAGCAAGACAGTAAAAATCGAAAGCAACAAAATAAAACTTTAAATTTATAAATATTTCACCACTGAAAATAAAACGGATCGATTTCCCCGCATTCAGAGAAGATATGATTAGCATCATAGAAGATATTGCTAAAGTTTATCATTAAAGATTTTAAATTTTTTGTTACCAAAATCATCAAACGTTCTAAATTATGATTTTTTTTTTTTACACACAGGATTTTAGATTTTAGTCTTGATTTTAACAAAGTTAAAAATTATTTTCTTTAAGTTGCTTGCAATTTTGAAGCAAAAAGTGATAAAAAGGTAAATAAATTGTCGAAAATCAGCTATTTAAAATTTTATTAATATGCTCAAGACTAAACCTTAGAAATTTAGAATTATTATTTATTCTCTTTGGCAATTTTATAGTTTCATTATATATTTTGTAATTTTTTTTAAAGATTTGTTTAACAATTGTAACACTATCTGTTTTTAACCGTTATTAAATGGATAAAATAATTATCTATAATAATAATAATATTATTTTAATACAATTTTATAAAAATTATTTTTTAAATTTATTTTCAATTTAATTTATCAATAGAAATCAATTCTCTGCCCTACACATCAATCATATCAAATTATTATAATTATTCAAAAATATTCTCACAGAGTTGAAAATGATCATTATTATTTACCTGCACTAGTGTATAAAAGAGTTTTCTGAATTACTCTGTTATTTAATTAATATGTGTATGTGATTATTAATTAAAAAAAAAATGATAAAATAAACATTTTAATCGAGTGCGCACGCCCAATTATTACAGCTCAAGGCTAAATTTTCGTCATATACTTAACTGATATGAGTGGTGAATGTCGCAGCTTGCCAATATAAGCGTTCGTTAGTGAGAAGAGGATGGAAGGCGAAGGGAAATTAGAGCTTGTTACCAGCGCGGAAATGTTGGCTGTGGCGCGACGCATCCACGGGCCCGCAGCTCAAATATTGGATTTCAGCGTGGAGAAGGCCACCAGCAGTGTGCAAGGGTTCATGTCCTGCGTTCTCAGGGTGACCGCCAACATACAGGTCTGTAAGGAGATATTGACAGAAAAAATAATCGTCAAAAGAAAACCCACGCTGCAAAATCAAAACTGTCTATAGTGAACGAAATGGAAGTTTTTGATCACGAGATCGGTTTCTTTGAAAATTGTGCGCCAATTTTGAGCGCAAATTGCCCCAAAGTGCCCATTGTAAAATGCTTCGCTACAAATTCTGAAACGGGTATTATTTATATGGAAGATTTGAAGGTAAAAAATTTCACAGCCATGATTCGTTGCATAGCTGATTTAAAAGAAAACGTTCTTTCCATGGAGCACATTTACCTTGTCGCGAAAACTCTCGCCAGATTTCACGCCGCTTCTTACGAAATTGACTGGGTGGAAAAATTTCCAACAGTTTTCGCGGAGGACGTCATGTTTGAGAAAAACGACGGTACTCTCATGAAAAATTTCATCCGCCAATCTGGCGAAAAAACTCTGGTGCCGCTCACGAAGCACCATTTCCAAGGAAACGAGCGCCTTTTGAAAAGTTCTCTTTGGTTTACCACGGAAGAGTTTTTTCAAGCCCTGGTCGACATTTGCAAACCTAAACAGAAAGGGCTCAATGTTTTATGTCACGGTGACTGTTGGGTGAACAACATGATGTTCAAAACCGACCCTGATTCCGGGAAGCCGTTGGAAATTAAATTAATCGACTTCCAGTTGTGCCGCTTCACTCACGGATCCACAGACCTGATGGACTTTTAGTATGTGTGTATCAACGCCGCCGTTCGCAAGAAAATCGAACGTGAATTTTTGGAGTTGTATTGGGAAACTTTTACGGAGGAGTGCGCCAGTAGAGAAATCAAGTTGGCTGGAAATTTTGTGGAGTTTTTGGCCGATTATGAGCGGAATAAAGCGTATGGGATAATGATGGCTGTGGGAATGAGACCGTGCGTCTACATCAAGGGCACTTTTCCGGATGGAAACGAAGAACTTACTGAGGAACATATCAATTCCATGACTGATGGAGGAAGCGAATCAGATAAGACAGTCAAAGAATTTGAAAATAATGTGGAATTTCGGGATGAAATGATTACTTTAATTGAAGAGTTGGCTGACGATTTCTATTATAAATATAATACGTAGAGCTTATTTGTACATCCTTCCTATTTTTAGTTTAATAAATGTGGTCGTTTTAATAAATATTTTAAAATAAAGTGGGTTTTTAATTATTTTGTCTTGTTCATTATGGAGGTCCAGTGGCCTAATACTACTAAAAGACGCTTCTTTCAATATTGTGCTAGAAAGAAAAATAAAGAAACAAAAACATGTTCAATGTTAGAAAATAATTATCCAGTTGATGAAATATGTGGATTTAATGTTCATTGCCTTAAATACTTTGATGAGAATCATGGCGTGCCCCGAAAACACCAGCAACACAAGTATGAAACAAGAATGTCTCAATTTGAACCGCTTTGCCACTAAGTTTCAATAAATTTACTGCGTAATATACATTTTAATTTTCTTTTATTTTAATTAACTGCGAAATTTTCACCAGAAAATCTTGCGTAACAAAAGGACAAATTCCATATCAAATAATTGTTGATATCGCTTTTTTTTAATTTCGTTTATAAATTTTTATCTTTTTAAAAATTCACAATGTAAAAATGTGTGCATAAAACTAAGCCTAGTCACATAAAAATCAGTCCAATTTGAGTTGGTCAGTCTTATAATTTATAAATCTTTCTCAAAAATTAAATTAAAAAACAAGATAGAAAAGACAATTAAAATTTGTATTTAATTCGCGGCATACAATTTTTTGGTGTTTTGAATCATTTTGTAATGTAATTAATGATAAAATATAAAAGGGCAATAAATAAAAAAGTAAATTATTCAAATAATTGATAAGAAAATTAGCTGCCATTAGCATTTGTGTTGCTTTCATATAACGAAAGGAAGCGCACCGTCCCCCACATGTAACTCTGTCATAATTGATAATAACCAACGCAAACAAAGTTCAAGGGCAGGCATCGAGCGCTCCCACAGCAGAGTATGAGCTTTAATTTATATTCGCAGCAGCATTATATTCATGGTCAGTGTACGGTATAGAAGCCGCAGAGAATGGCAGAGGAGATGAGAACGCTCGTGGCCCAAGAGGACGTTGCGGCCGTCGCAAAGTGCATCCACGGGCCTGACGCGGAACTGCTTGAATATGAAGTGGAAAAGGGGACGGCGACTGTGCAGGGATTTTTGTCCCAAATTCTCCGGGTGGTCATCAAGGTGCAGGTTGGTGAGCAAAATTTCACCTCAAAATTTGTTGCCAAGCGACCGCCCAATTTAGAAAGCCAGATGAAAATGGTTAACGAATTTGGAGTTTTCAAGCACGAAATTGGCATTTTCGAACGATGTGCGCCGATTTTGTGGAAGACCTGCGCTGACCTTCCGATGGTCAGATGCTACCTGACGAAGGAAAATTTGATATACATGGAGGATTTGAAAGAAAAAGGTTTCGTCGCTCTGATCCAATCTGTGGTTGATTTGAGAGAAGACGTGCTCACAATAGAACACATAAAAATGGGAATAAGGACACTAGCGAAATTCCACGCTGCGTCTGTGGGTGTAAATTGGCTCGAAGAGTTTCCTGATATTTTCACTGAAGATGTAATGTTTGAAAAAAGTGATATTATGAAAAATGTAATAAAGCAATGTGTCAAGAAAATTGTCGTTCCCATTACCAAGCATCATTTCAATGATGAGAAATTCGTTAAAAGCTCAGAGTGGCTCGCGTCCGAAGAATACCTCAAAATTGTAACAGAAATCTGCAAACCCCACCCGAAGTTTTTAAACGTCCTCTGTCATGGAGACAGTTGGGCCAACAACATGATGTTCAAATTCGACCCTGAAACAGGAAATCCACTCGAAATAAAGCTGATAGATTTTCAAATCAGTCGTTACGCACCTGGCAACCGAGATCTGATGTATTTCATTTATGTTTGCTGCACCCCAGATTTCAGAAAAAACTACGAAAAAGAATTGCTCAATACGTACTGGAGTTTTTTCACAGAAGAATGCTCTCGGCAACATTTTGAATTGACGCATACATGGGAGCAGTTTTGCGACGATTTTGATAGCATTCGACCTTTTGGCCTGATGATGTCGGCGATAATGCGACCTGGCATCTTTATGGACGGCGCCTTTCCTGAGGGCGAAGAGGAACTCACAGATGAACAGTTTCAAACCATGATGGACGGTGGCAGCGGCGAGGAACAGGCCATCATGACGTTTAAAAATAATCCAAAATTTCGCGCTGAAATGATCAGTGCAATAGAAGAGGTAGCGGAATTATAATATAGGTGTTACAATAATTCAAAGATGTAATTTTTGTGTGTTTTGAATCTTAAAACTGACAATAATATACATAATTATTGACTTGTAAATTATTGAAAGTGTTATTAAAAAAACTCAAGATATTTAATATCTCACCATTAATATGATCAAATATAACATATACAACGTAAAATAATTGTTTAAAAGCATCTCAAATATTTCTGCTCTAAATGAAGAAAATAATGCTAAGAAACATCATAAAACTCACTGAAATCTTATTTATTTGAAAATATATATATATATATATATATATATATATATATATATATATATATATATATATACATAATGATATTCGTATTTTTTGTCTATATTGTTGAGAGGAGAAGAGATCATTCAAATTAAAAAAAAATAATAATAATAATTTTTACGCTTAATTCCAATACAAAAATGTATTTCAAATTGCCTCATACGTGTATTTGTCTAAAAAGTAATCGCAATTGTTAGTTTCGCTTAAGAGAGTAAGGATGGTTAAATTATTATTTAATTGAATGTGCAGAACCCTTCCTTATACCAACGAGTCCACTCCAGTCAGCAACAGAGAGGTCCAGCGCCTGCAGAAGTGAAAATAGTTGAAACCAGCATTACATGGACGATTTACAGGTTGCATAATATAAAGAGTTATTTTTTGCGTTTATCGTATTCATTACCACGGGTACAAATATTTAAACGGCGCTTCTGCAATCCAGCAGCCGGGATCTGATGTATTTCAATTATGTGAGTTTCCTCTTAATTAGCCTGAATAATAGAGATTTTTTTGCAATTTTTTTTTAATCTGTTAGGGTATTAATCATAGACATATAGGTTCAAGAAAACCCTTGTTTTCATAAAGCTCAAGAAGAAATTTTCTTGAAACCACTAGTTAAAATTTTATATTCGTCATTTTTGTGATAATTAGTTCGGCGCCTGTGGATGGCGTGGAAGCTTCCGCCCTCATCACCCTTACTGTCACTGACCTTAGTGACCTTTTTCTTTTTAATTAAATTCTTTAACGAATTTTCATTTTTATTTTTTTTTTATTTTATGCATTATGCAACTCAAATTTCAAAATTAGTAAGCAAGACTTAAAATTTTATTATGATTTTCAAATATAAATCGCTTTAATCAGAAAAATAATTAAACTTGGGTGAATGAAACACTAAAAACACTTCTATAGTCGCAAAATAGACATTTATTTACATTTCTGGTGGAATAAATAAATTTAAAAAAGGCAAACTTGACAACAGGTTCCACGTCAAAAGAAACTAATATTTATAATTTTATTCCAATAAATACAACAACACATACGCACAAAGTTTTCACAAGATCAGTTTTTTTAATAAGTCTATGGCAAGTAACCGAGCGAGTTCTCGAGGGTGCTCCCGGGGTAGCTGCCCCTGCGGCCGAGGGGCGCGTGCTCCTCGGGCTCCAAGGTGTGGTAAAAAACCTCGTCCTCGGCACTCATCTGGAATCCGCGGATGTCGGTCGTTTGGCTGAGTTTCATGTTGGAGAAGAGCGAGGCGATCTCGGTGGTCTTTTTTACCGCCAACGCCTCACTGGCCAAACTGCTGCTTCGCCGAGGTCGCGACCTCTGCGAGTCACCGCCATAGATCAGCCGGCCGCGGTCGTCACGCGCCGAAACCACCATCACCCGTTGATGCATTTGTTGCTGCTGCAGAGACGCCCTGCGAGCCGCGTGCCTTGCCGCATTGTACCTGAATTCAAAAAAATATAAATTTTTAAATCATTAATGGAATTTTTTATATAATACTCTTGGCGTAAGAAAGATGCAGTCATCTGCTTGGACTTTTGATTTAATTTGACAATATTTGAATTTTGATAAAATGTTCCTGTTTTTTGATGACCGATTTTAATTTACTTAAAAATTCCTACAAAACATTTTTTCGCTTTTATAATGCATTATGTTTTCATACCTGAAAAGTTCATAGTCGAGGGCCAGGTTGTCGACGCTGTGATACCTGGTCCGGGACGCAATGGACGCCGTCTGCGAGGGCAGCACGTCGTACACGTTCATCCGGCTGCAGTACGAGCTGGGACGTCTGCTCCTCGTTGTGATCGGCTGCTGCAGAAGCATCTGCAGACTTTGACTTGTTCGGTTGCTGGGCGGCTTGTTCAGGTGATGCCGCCAAGACGAAGACGTCACAAACTAAAATAACACAGGTGTTTTTAATTCTTCTAACCTCTTGCTTTATTAGTGTCTCATATGAACACAAATTGTTTTTTTTCTGTGCAATAATTTGGTGAAGATAAACGTTCAAAATTATAAAAAAAAAATAAAATAAAGATTTTCATACATTTGATTATTATTACATGCAATAATTTAAAATGTTAACAGTATAATAATTATACCTTCTGGTGTGCAATTTAAGTATGTTTTAAAAAAATATAATATAATATTGCACTTTTGAATAATTTACTTTAATTGCAATTATTATTATACAATTTACCTGTTTCTTGTTATTTTGCAGGGAGCAATAGCACTTGTCACTATCGAGGCAGCTGTCGGTGTCGCAAAGGCAAGAGGTGAGGCTGCAGTCGCTGCAGGAGACGTACCCTGAAGAAGACTCGCGCACCCTGACACTCATTTCGCCCTTGCGGATCAGGTTTTGCGCCTGCCTCCGCATCTCCTTGTTGGCAATGTTGGACAGGCGCGTCTCCACGGCGTCAGGGTTGCGTCTGCTGCGACCCCCATGACCACTGCGACAGGATGAACTTGTCGATCCTGAGCGTGGCCTATAAAAATATTATTGCATCGTTTTTTAATTAGAATCAAGAGGGATATCCTTCTATTTCAATAGTCAAGATTTTAAATACAAGAACTTCAAATTTATAAATATTTTGAATCTACTTCTTAACTAACCACTTTTTATTGTATCATATTAAAATGTGAAATAGAAATAAATGAATAATTCTTGAATAATGAAATTTAAAACACAGCTATTTAAACATTTCCGAAAGGTTTTGAGGTTCAAAAATATTTTAGCAAAATATTTATATCCTCTATAAACATTAGATAATAATCAATATATCTTTAAAATATAAATAAATTAAGAAAAACAACTGACCTTCTTCGGCTGATGAGGTTGGAGAGGTCCTCATCCTTGGCAGCTTTCTGACAAGATCCCTTGATCTTCTTGACGGACTTGCGGAAAGCGTGTCTGATGCCCCTCTTGCGTCTGCCCCTTTTGCGCGACTGCTTGACCTGCCTCTTCATGATGCTCTTGCTCCGAAGGTACAACTCGTCCTTGGTCAGGGTGACGGCCAGTTTGAGCAGCAGTTCCTTGTACAGAGGCTTCAGGTCATTGTAGGACATGCCGTTGGCGTTCACGATCTTCTCCAACACCTCGTCCATGTTGGAAACACCCTCCTGAGTGCGAATTTCGGCAAACAATTCGTGCAAACTGCTGCCACCGTTGCGCACCAAAAAGCTGCGACTCTTCGGAATGGTGATTTTGGTGAGGATGTCACCGTCAGGCTGGCTACGTCGACGCACCCGCGCGTCGTCGTCTGTCGTCGTGCAGTTGTCGCTGGCCGATGTCAGCAGTTTGTCGTGTTGTTGCTGCTTCGGACGCCGCTTCGGAGGAACCGGTGCTTTGCTGTTGACGCCGCTTTCCGACGGTTGCTTCGACGAAGCGGCCAGACGAGACGCGTTGCTCGATTTCTGTGAAAATAATTGCCTTCAATTAGTTCACGCACAATTTTTTTGATTTTTTGTCACAACTATTTGACCTCAGATAATTGTTAAACCTGTTATAACAGATTCTTAGCAAAGAAAATTTAATTGAAGAGCTCAAAAAGTTACTTCTAATGAAAATTATTTAACTGGAAAAGACTGGCTGAAGGCAAAAATGTGTGGCTGTGAAAAATAACGCAAATAGTTAAAGATTGCTTATGGAAATTTGGCATATAATTCTGGATGAAACTCCGAAGGTTTCAAACTTGCAAGGAATTTGTTACATTTCAAAATTGATTACTTATTGATTAAAAATGTCCAGGAAATAGAATTTCTTGAAGGAAATACCAACTGAACAGCGCTTATTTATTTTTAGCAGCTATTTAAAATTTCTCAAGAGGAAAACTGATTTTAATTGTGGTTTCATTCCCAAGAAATTGATAATTTATTTTTCTCAAATTTCGTGCTTGCGTCTGAGTAGCTTTGTATTAAATCTAAAAAAGAAAATAATAATGTTTTAAAATATTATAAGTAAGTTCTGTAACCACCATTGATATAGTTTTATTTTTATAATGATACGATTCAACTGCATCCTCTTTTTTAACATTAATATTGTCCTTCAAAGTATACATTGCACTAAAAAGTTATGTACCGCTTTAATTTGTAAATTCATGATGTTGTATATATACACACTTTTCTGTTTAATTAAGACAATAATAATACTGTTTTAATTTAAAATTTGATATGAACTAAGAAAAATTAATATTTTAAATTTAAAAAATAAAATAAAATGAAAAAGATTTAAAAAAAAAAAGCAAAATACTATTTAAATATGAAGCGACAGTATGAGTTAAATTATTTTATTTTTAAATTTAAATAAAAGAAAAATATTTACTCTTTGCACTGGTTGTTGAGGTTTACTTTTGAGGTTGACCATGAGTGCCTGGTAAAGGTTGGCGGCGATCACGATCGCATCCTCGGCGCAGCTGCATTCATAAGCGTGGCAGAAGAGTTGTCTGGCGGCGGTGCCTCTTTGGCGCATGATGACGGCCAGCAGGGGCGAGTGCGCGCCGTTCGCCACCTGCATGTCCCGCTCGTCCGTCAACTCGGCGAACAGGGCACTTTTGTCGTGGCCATCAGGGTCGGCGATCAGCGGCAGGAAAGCGGCCCGGCTGCCCTCGGCCCGCGCCACGCACTTGACCGCCGCCCACACGGCGATTGTGGAGAACGAGTGAAGTTCCGGTTTGGCACTGCCCGGCTGCGTCAGCTTCAGGCCCTGCGTAGAAATCTCCATCCGACTCGAGGAGCCCGTCGAAGGCTCCGAATCGGCTTTGTAACGGAAATACAGTTGCCGCAAAGGCTGCTGCAGGTTTTGTAATGTGGTGTTGTTCTCAGTCAGTGGCACCTGAAATTCATTTTTGTAAATAAATCAAGAGCCACAAATTTCTGGAGATTCAAAGGGATTGAAAAAGAAAAAAAAAAGAAAAAATATGTCAACAGTATGACAGTATTTTAATTGAAATAACAACTAGAATTTTATATGGGAGGCGTTGAAAGTAAAAATTATCAGCAAAAAATCAATTTTTATATGGACATGAATTTTATCCAATTTTAATCAACATTTTTCAAATTATAAAATACCTTTCCAAGGTAATTGACGGCAAAACTCTCCTTCTCCGTCCCATTGGGTTGAGATGGAAGATTCGCTTCAGGCCTCTTGAGTTGCCGGTGGAGTTCGTCTTCAGAAGAAGAGGACACTTCCTGGAACATCTTCTCGATTTTCACCTGCACGAAGTTGCTCGGCCTGGAAGGTGAGTGCCCGTAAAGCGAGGAGCGCGAGTCGTCGAACATGGCATCGATGCGCTGCTTGTAGACGGACTGCTGCTCTGAACTGGCCACGGACACCCGGTCGGCGGACAGTCGGAACTGGAAGCTCGCCTCGGAGCCAAAGGGTTTGCCAGAAAGCGCCTCCAAGGGCAGTGTGCCGCTGCTAGTGCAAGCCACCATTCTATCCCTGCAACAAGACAAATAACAAAATTATAAAATTTTATTGCAATATAATTTAAAAAGGGAAAAATTTAATAAATTTTATGTTATATTAAAGATTTATTCTGATCTTTAAGCGCTAATATGTTTTTAGTATTAATATTATTAATATTATTATTATTATTATTTTTTATTTATATTGTAAGAAAAAAAAATTAAGGATGGTATGGTCTTTTGAAGCCATCTGTGCTTGGCTGCAACATTCTCCCAGCGTGGCCGAATAGGAGGAACAGTTAATCAAATTATGAGCCAGTCATTAAAATCTCAGCGGTCAAATTTATATATTTAATCATAGCCAGATGTGTGAACATCGCATTGCTGTGAATTCGCTCTAAGTCTGCGGTCACGGAGGGGATCGTTGAGGAGGAAGCGGAGAAATAAATAATCTGCACGGCAAATCTAACGCGGACGTTTCAAGACAAAAGCGCCGACGGCTTCTTCAATCGCGCACCAAAAGCAATTGTTGGCGCGCCACATTTTTATATCCTGTATGTGTCGCGCACAGCAGACGAGGATGTGTGTCAGTTACGCTTCCATTGTACGCGCATTTCGTCACTGCGACAGCTGACAGAAAACTTGAGCATTGTTCGGAAATTTAATTAGAACTTCAAAATTTCGACGAGGAAAGAAATCTGGTTTATTTTCATTTAACTGTCTTTGTGTTGCTAAAATTGTATCATAGATAACAGAGATTTAACCCCATCACCTCACGCATTTTTATTGTGAAATTTTTTGGTTTAATTTTAGAGCTGGAACCGTTGTGACTTCTCCGTTTAAAATTATTTTACAATTTTACATCAATTAAACGAAATAGGCAAGAAAGACTTGTCACTGACCCTAGAAAGTATTAAAAAATGATCGCTTTTAGTAAATTAAATCCACTTAAAATTCATTCATACAAAATTGTGTTTTAAAAAAATGCCCACAAAATTGAGTTTAAAAAAAAATAAAATGTGCACGTCTCTGAACAGAATTTGTTTGGATCTAAAAATAATAACCATGGGCTTAAGAAATATCTGGCGCAGACGATTGCTTCCGGAGCAGCACCCGCTATCAGCTTGACTTTTCTTTTATTATCTTCAAAACACGTGATCAGAATTGGCATAATACGTGCGCTCTTTCAGCAGCACTTTAGTTTCGCATGGACCAGGCCGTGAACTTGACGCATTGAGATACTGGAACATATACGTGGGCTGAGAGTAAATTTACTAAAAAATTATTCGGTAAAACCGGTGCAGTAAGAGCAGAGCAGTCAAATCAAGAGCACGATTTGCAACCTTTGGTGTATTGAGGACAATTGCAAGTAAGTAATAATCTGGATCAAACCTTTGAAGGTTATTTTATTCAATGATTTAATTGATTTTGGTGATCCTTAAAATATTTTTAAATTGTATTAGGAATACGAAAGAGATAACAAAAAATGTAACCAAGACAAAACAAATGCTGTTATCAAAAGCGTCACTTCTTAATTAACGAAGATGAAGTGCGCAAATTAAAAACAACGCTACTCAATTAATGCAAGCATCGATGCGATTAGATAAAAAGCGAGTGAGGTTCTTCACCCCTTTCGAATAAAGTTATTAAAATTTAATTTTTAATTAACCTAATGTCAGAAAATTAAGCATGTAACAAAAATGCGGACGAAAAAATGTGTGAAATTGAGCGACCCAGGAGGTCTGGCTTCTGTATTGCCCTTTGACCTCATAAGCAATTTTAGTATATCACAAGTCTGCATAAATTTAGCTGTTGATTCGGTGAGGACGTGATAAAATTTGATCTGCTGGAAGCATCAGAAGCTGCTGACTGTGAAACCGGACACTCGCTCCGAACTGCAGAGCAAAAAACGACCCATGTGACGGCGGGGGCCGTGACTTGACGCGAATGAAAAGGATCGCGCAAAAACTAAATTGCGTTTCAGACTATTCAGACGCTTCATTTAGCAGTAGTTAGTGGCCGGACGAAAACCTAAACGCACTCTCGAGTTTATTAAGCGCCATTAACAGGTCCCACATAATTGTTTTGTTTCAAACTTATTTCAAGATGTATAATATTTTTTAAATTATTCAATCTGTAGGCTCAAAGAAGAAAGCTAAGCCTTGACTGCAAGATGGCAAGTGTGTTGGAATCTCTACTCGGCGTTTTCGGTTTTGGCCAGCCCAAGGATCTGGACGTAGAGGACCCTGTGACGGGACTCACCCCGCGCCAGAAGAATCTCGTCCGTTCAACATGGGCACTTGTAATGCCCAACATTAGAACGGTCAGCGTGGAGTTAATTATAACGTAAGTACAATAAAATATTTATTTTCATATTATTTTTTATTAAAATTTTTTGTAACAATTAATTTCCACTTTGAAATTGAATTACAACAAAATAATGTTCTCATGCAATTTAAATTGAGCTATTAGAATTTTATCATGTTTTTCAATTTTGTTATCATTAAATTTTCAATTTAATTTCTCTTTCTTGAAAATTATTAATTCAATGAATAATTAGCTGCTGATTATTAATAGAGTTTATTTAAAAAAAATTCTTGTTAGGTTCTTCGATAAGCACCCTGGGTACTACAGCTTGTTCAAATCGTTTGAAGGCTTGAGCATTGCGGACCTGAAGACAAGCAAGAAGTTTACAGCCCACGCCACCACTGTCTTCCACGTTTTAGCCAGTGTGGTAGATGCGTTGGAGGACACCGAACTTTTGGTTGAGTTGTGCACAAAACTCGGCAAGGCGCACGCCGGCCGAAATGTGCCGCCCAGCGCATTTGAGGTCAGATTTGATGAAAATTTAAGGAATATATTTTAAAACATTTATTTTTAGCTTAATTTTTCATAGAAACAAATCATTTTGTTTTATTATGTTGCTGTGAGAATTTCAGTCATTAAATTGTTTTTAAAATTTTTAAGGACCTCAAACCGATTGTCATGCAAGTGCTATCTGAGAAGCTGGGCAAAAAACTCACTCCTTCAACGGCTGAGGCATGGGACAAGACGCTCACTGTTGCGTTCTCCCTTATTAAAAAAGAACTCGCCGCCCCTGCAAGTGAATGAGAAAGATGCAGATTTCCCAATTATCTATCGCTGAACATGTATTTTTGTATAAGAGATGCATTTTTTTAAATAATTTTCAACAGAGCATTTACATTTAATTAAAAATTCAGTGTTTTCATCATGCTCAGTTGCCACTCACCTGCTCTTAATAACATATTTATGGATTATATATGTTGGCAGAGAATGCCCGGTAAATATTAATAAACATTATTTGAAACTAAACAGACCGATCACTGTTTTAACTTCGTCTCCATTCAAAACTAAATGATCGATTGAATATTTTATCAAAATTAATACCATAGTAAAATTGACACAGACTGATGAGATAAATTGTGTAGATAAAAGAGTAATTAAACAGCTCTGAAAGCAGCCTTGAAGCCTCTCTAGGTGAAATTTTACAGTGATTATTTTTATTTAAATTTTCTTTGCGGTCAGTGTGATATTTCAGAGGTATAAAATCGGCTATGAAAAGACTGCGACTTCACCACAATTAAACGCAATTTCCGCTTGAATGCACACGGAATCTCGCATCCTAATCCTCTGTTTCAAATATACAGCAACTGATCAAAAGGCCGATTGCGCGATAGGAGCATGAATATTTCAAAACTAATCGCTCTAATCAACAGTTAGTCAGGTCGTTTGCCAGTAAAATTTACGACCGCGCGATGATGCGCGTGAGTTCCAGAGCGCGCAATAAACAGCCGGGGCTAATAACTGTGTTGAATCGCGTCTAGCTTAAGAATTGTTGCACACAAGTCTTGGGGCGAAACGCTTCAAACAAGTCAGGGGCTTTTGAAGGCAAAGTGCATTTTTATTACTTGCTAATTAATGCTTGAGTGTCTTTTTAACTTATAGCTCAAGGCTTTTTGCGGATGATTGATTCTGATTTTGTGTGGTTTCTTCAAATTTATTAAAAAATTATCGAAAATCAATGCAAATTATTCACGGAGGAAGAGAAATGGAATTTATTCTGTTCTGAAATTTGGAAATGAAATGAAATGAAAATATTTCCATTAATAATAAAATGTATGTTAAAGCGACACATTGATTTTCACCCATTTTTTACTCCACAATTTTCACAATTGAAAAGCATGATTTTTATTAATAATTTTATCTCTCAGCTTTGCTAAACATTTACAATCAAAAATACATAATTTTACGAGATTTGCAATTTTTCAATAATTAATTGTTAATTTCCTATCAAAGAAATTTTTCAATTTGATTCCCATCACAAATCATCATCAAATTAAGCCATGTCAGCGACTCTGGTGATGATTACAGGGCGTGAGGTTCGCAACTTTGCACTTCTCATTGTTGTCAAAGAGCAAAAGTTGCAGGAAAGGATTTTTTTGTGTGTGACACGCGGGGCAATTAATCCGTTCCCACGCAACCGTCAGTGCATATGCGTGTGATCAGTTAAGATCACTTTCGAAACTTGCCAACAATGGAATTGAATTCGTCCTGTCTACCATTTGCCAATGGAGTCTCTCGAGAAAGTCTACTATTGGCACTTGCACCCATCGCATGATTCGAAAAGACACTTTCAGTACCGCAAAAAATATTTATTTGCTTCAATATCTAGTAAAATAAGCACATGTCAAGGCGCTTTTAGCCTCTGAGCGTTTTTAAAGATTGATTAGAGGTGATTTGACATTTTGTTCGAAAGTTCATCTCGGAAAGGACTTAAAAAAGCCATCATATCAGTTTCAGGGAAAGCAGCGGTGAAATGCGACCGATTAAAAGATGATGGAGAGAATTAGGAAAAAATAAATGCCAAACCGCATGTGCGAAAACCAGTTTTCCCGCTACGGAAGTGGTGGAATTTAATTAACCGGCCGCAAATAACAATAATGAAAATTCCTTAGGATGGTATATAATTCAAATTTCGGACCGGTGTGGTCCGCCTAATTTAGTTAACTGCTCATCTAATTCATCGTACCAATTCGTCTTTAATGGGATTTCCTCCTCCTTTTCGAGATCTATGAGAGAATTTTCGTATGCGTCGAAGTAAATTTACAAGTGTCCTGGTGCAGAACGGCGCGCGAGAAACGCAAACACGCGAGTCCCGTTTGATGAGAGGAGCACTTGCTTTTGATATAGGAAAAAGATGCGCTCCGTCATTCCGTCTGTCGCATTGCCGCGTACGTTCAACTCAATTCTCCGCGCACACTTCCTGAAACGCCGGCTGCAGGTCGCGTATTTGACTCACCAACGCTTTTTTGCTTTTCGTTGAACGAGAAAAGTGGAAATGCGGATATTTATGGCATAACTGGTCTAGGATCGTTTGACTTGCGACCGACCGGTCTCACTCGGCATAATGAAAATTTGCTTTGTACAAACGTAAACATAACTGCGCTTTTCATCTAAGTCCGCTTTGATGACCGTGGCCGCGAGCAACATTTTCGTGTAATTATACGGCGAGAACCGATGATATAACATCTCGTCCCGTTTGGTCCTCTGTATAATAAATAAATCGAGGGTAATAAATATATTGTTGTAAAATTTGACGCAGAAAAATGTGTGCAGAGCTGAATAATAATTATGTTATAATTATATAATTTTAGGGTATAATTTGAGTTGTGACACCCTGATTAAAAATCACTTTTGGAACCGGTACTAGACATTAAAAAGTGTTAAACCCAATTTATGAATTATTTTGCTATTTTTGTGTGTCAGATTTTGTGAGCAAGAAAATAAACATTTACAAAGAGAGAAGCTATGCGCGGATATTCTAATTATGATGCGATCCAAAGTTCAAATGTAGTGGTAAATGAGAATATTATTATAAAATTGGTGTATCAATGAGACAAAATTATATAATAAAAGTTCATATTTTAAATCTAAATTGTTATACATTGTAAAAGTTACTATGTATTGTATTTTTCACTGCAATTTATAATCTATATAATTTAATATCCAAATTTATCTTTCCTTTTAATATGTTTAAAATAACTAAATATTCTTTTCAATTTCCTTTTTTCTTTTACCTTTGAGCTGCCGCAGCATACATTTTTATTATAATCAAATTTATCTTTCAAGAATTTTCAAACTCTCAGTGGATATATTTGCATTAAAGTTTACTTTGAATATTAAGAAACAAAATTATGCTGAAAAAATGGCTCTATAATATAATTAAATATGAAATTATATTGAGCAAAGAGATATTCAAATATAACAAAACAGATCATTGAATATAAATTCAGGAAGTTGCAAAATTATACTCATTGCGCTTTTACTCATTAAAGTTAAATGACGTTGCGCAACAAAATAACTAATTATTGTTAATTTGAAGCAAAACTTTTTAAAGCAGAGATTATATCCCTTCGTTACACACGACAAGCCAGACTTCATTCTTACTTCTCTCATTGCGCCACTTTTGAAGAGTTTGACCTGTAAAAGCGAGCAATACCGGTCTTTTTAACGAATGCCATGATTAACACGCACAACACATCAATGCCAAAGCTAAATTAAATCAAAGCTCGCGCCCGTCGACCACAAGCAAAATTCAGCAAATTGGCTGGTGTTTGGCAACACGACCGCAAAGCATACGCCGCTGTTTTTTCTAGGTTGACAGACTCAACACTGTAGCCCACCAGTTTAGAAATGAAATCTTTCGCAGCGAAACGGGTTGAGCAGGACGGAGGAATTTCAGAAAGCTTGTGTTTCTAATGATTTTCATTTGTATACAGGTTCTAATTCATATTTTACTTTCATCCTCAATTCGCCGCGATAAGTCATATGTCAAATTTAAAACTTCTGCCTGACGAAACATTTAATAGGAACCTGTTTAAGGCAAACAAGGCAAGCAGGATTTTCAAGATAGATTTCAACATTAGTCCTCATTAGACTAGACCTTGAAAACAGACAGATCTAGGACTGTTTTATGACTTATGATATAGAGTTGGATTATTAATTATAAAATTGAAATAAATTATTAATAAATTTATTAAAAGGATAAATAATTAATACTTTGTATAAGTAGGCCGGTTTTAGAAAAATACCAAAAAAAGCTCCATAATTGATTTTAAAAGAGTGACAAAATTGATATTGTATTTCAAATTCATACCAAATCCTTCAAAAAAACCCTCTGGATAAATGAAAATATTTGGAAAAATATAGGCGCAATTAATAATTTGTAATATTTGAAGTTTAAAGTGAATTAGTAGTAATTAACCAAGATGAGAAGTCAAATAAAAAGGGGAAAAATATGTGACTCATCAGATAGTTTAATGGTTTAGAGAAAATGGTAAAGTAAGTCAATGTCAATGTGTACCAGTATTTTTTCATGAAATGCTATCAAAATGAGATTTAAGCGGATTTAAGAAAGAAGGTGCTAGAAATTTTTTCCATATAAAAGTAACACTTTCACAAGAGGCGGGCAGAATTAATTGTATTTCCTGCATGTAAATATATATATATATAAAGGTTAAATTGCACCTGTGGACGGGATTAAAAGCAGAGACCACATGTGTCGCCCTAGTTGGCCAACGCAGTGGAAAACTCTCGTTTTATTAAAACGCGAGCGCGCACACAAGAGGCGCTCACTTCTTTTGTGTTTGATAAGAGTGGAGAGAATTAATTTCCGAGCCGAATGCGAGGAATGAGGAGTGCGAGATAGAGATCAAAGAATTAACTTTCACGCCTTGGCCGAAACGCCAACGAGGAGGAAAAAATTAGTGAAAAATTATTAATCGTTGTTTACATTCGTATGTTGCGAGCGAAGGAGGTCAGCGTGAAAATAATTAAGCCGCATTTGCATGGAAAGTATCGGACTGGTCGAGAAGCAAGTTTTGGGCGTCTCTTGTCTTTTGTACCGTCTGGCTTGCTAGACTCGTTTTTCGCCCATTATCCTGGGGCCAAGAGGTCCGCAACCTCTGGTGCCGACTATAAAGCAGTAGACCAGGAAGATCAGAAAAATTTTAATAGCCAGGTCGTAAAGTCAGTTTTTGTAATATATGCATTATTGCGAAGTTGTAAATCTATGAAGTGATCCACATGATTTTAAATTTAATAACTTGGATAATATTTTATAGTTCATGAGCACACCTGTCTTCGTGATTGATGTAATTTTTTTAAGACTATTTTATTCTAACCGTTAGATGGATCGCGTTTATTGGAATAGCAAAAACTGCCTGCGCATGATATATTATTTGAGCAAACAGTTTTTATAAATCTGCTTAATTGTTTCAACCTTCAAACCACTCAGGATTTGATCCTGCCGAAGTCAACTTTTGATCATTTTGGCCTAGATTTAACCGGTCTTGTGTACAGAGCAAACGTGTCCATTTATTTTCGAAGGTCGAAGATGCCGGTACCAAGGTATTACTCTTTTGCAATGAAGTATTTAAATTTTTACGCTGAGAAAAATGATGCGTGCACGTCTCTCTGTTTTTAGCTGTTGACCGGCAGCGTGGCGAACAACGCCTCGAACCAGTAACCCAAAAAAATGGGATGAATATCAGAGATGCTGTGTTGACGGTCCAGCTTCTTGCAACTACCGTTAAAAACGTGCCGTGCTTATGTAAGGCATTTAGATGGAGTAGTAAATCGCCATCAGGCTGTCGAGCATAACGTTCATAGCACACGCACTCGGCCGCGAGTAGCTGTAAATTCAAATGCGCGTTTAGCATAACAGCTCGCGTGGCCCAGTAAGACAAGCCGAGCAAATTATTGATCAAAACATAAGCACCATAATTGGTTTTCTCATGGTTGAGTATCCGTTTTTCGTAATTTAGCATTACCGAAATTATCACAAGCTAGGCTGCTATCGGAAATGTTATCTGAACCCTGATTTCCAAAAGAAAATGAGAATAAATCAAGATAGAAACTTCTAAAAAAGTGTCAACGATCAATGTTGAAAAACAACCAATTTCCATTAATACGCGTCAAGTTTTCACGTGTTGGAGAGAATTCGCGATTAGGAGAGAAACTTTCGTGATCAAATAGTGTCGCGAAGTGAGCGCCTTCCACTCTTTCGTGCAAAGATCGGGAGGGTTTTTTGCAGTAGCAGTCAATACCGTTTACTTGATGAAAATATTCCAGAGTGAATTTCTCCATTTAACGCGTAACAAGCCGAGCGAGCCAAGTAGCGGGTTTCCAAATTTATTGATATTACCCGCAAGATTGTGACAGCAAAGAGAAACTACTGTGTTAAACACAATTATAAGACTCCTTATTTAAAAGCTGTTGCATGTTTTCATATGGCGAGAGCATGAAGGCGTTTCTGACTTTTGAGCACCAAATAAATAAAAGTGTATATTAGATCCAAAACGTAAATAAGGTCCTCAAGGCTCTAAATTTTACACACATTTAATTTAAACTAGTTAAGCAAAATTTTTTAAATGAGAGGCGGACAGAGAGCAATTGAAAGCGATTAATTAAGAAATAAAAACGCCAAATCGTTTCAAAATTGTTTTTAAAATTTCAAAATTAAATTTGTCTTATTTATTTACATGTCTTAAGACTAAAACCAAAATGTTAAAAAAGATCAGATCAATTGCTCGTCAATAAATTATTTTTCATTTGTGATAAAAATAATTGTTTTTGTTTTGGAATTAGAATTTTGAGAGTTTCTATTCTTCAAAATAAACCATTTCAATCAAATTTTTATTAATTTGAAAATAATCTTTCATTCATGCTTTTCAGTCTTATAAACGGGTTTCCTTTGCATGCATAATTTTTGTGCCTGATTGAATTTATTCAACCTGAGAAAATTGAGGCAAAAGTTAAATCTCTGGATAATCGCAGTGCGCAAACATTTGTTCCAATTCTGCTTTGTGACAATATGTTGACGTTAGTTTTCTAATTTGCGTCCCAGAAATAAATTCGCACATATTTCCACAGTGGTGTCCTAAACACACAATAGGTTGTTTGGTGCCAGAGACCCACTAGACGAGCGGCAATAAAATTTTGACAACAGCTTAGAAGTTCGTAATTTTTTAATTTTGTCAACGAGCAATGTAGAGTAAAAGCCGGCGACTGCGGGAATCGAGCTTACCTAGTTTTCACGGCAGCAACAGACGAGAAAAGCGTATCCGAATGTCATGGTCGGAAGCCTGTTTCGCGCACCATGCCTTCTCCGGCGCTCGAGTCCAACTAACTGACTCACTGCCTCTCTCGTTCGCTCACTCGGCACGCACCAAACACAACGGTGCCTCTCGACTTCTCTGTGCAAATCGAGAGCCCGCAAGTCCCACCATCGGTCCTCTTTTGCTCCCGGCGCTAATTAGTTAAAAAAAACGTATCATACCAGTTAAAAAATTTTAAGTACATAAACAGCCTTTTCGCCTTTTCATTATAATTCTTTAACTTTTTTATTGGAGATTTTGATATCTTCCATGCAGTTGCTTATTTTGGCAATGATTTTCTTAGATGTTAGTGACGTTTATTTTGAGAGGACTAGAAACTTGTCTTTGAAATCAAACAATTGCAAGAAATCTTCAAATCATTTTCCGTCCTTATGCAAATAAAATACCTTAATGGCAATTTCTATAATTAAAATTTGGATAATATAATATCCTTAATTAGTGATATGTATATTTTGCTACATTTTTATTCATTCTTCTCAGTCAATACAGAAATTTAAATTTCAGTTTAACAACTGTTATTTGGTTTTCTTATTATACTTAAAATTAGAAGCTTAAATAGTTATTTAAAATCATTTAACTTCTGACGACTATTTTAATATTTTAACAGCTCTAGCGCCTGCATAGTGAGGAGCTATGCAACCCTAGTAACCTGCCTGCTTTGCAAGTCAGTCTGAATATCAGGCACAGGCATTAACCACGTTTGATGTATAAATTAATAAATAATATTGTCTTGTTGTCCAAACATTCTTTCTATTTATTGACCCATGCAGCTTCTTCAAAACAACAGGTCTGAACTAAAAAGATATAATCATAAAATTTTATTTTTTATTAATATGAACTCCATATTTGAACTAGATTAAAAAAAAAACTATAGACGAAAATAATATTGTTTTCCTGATTGCTGATGATCATTTTTATTGAGCAAATAATATTAATTACAAACATTTGAGCAGATTCATTGACAAAATTATGTTTCTTTTGTACATTTTACAGAAGAATACATAACATTGTTTCTTTTTTAAGCTGAAAAGAAAATTAAATTTAGCTGTATAGGAACTAATACTTTGATGAAGCAATTATGTATAAATGTAGTTGGGATGAAGATGATAAATAGCATCAAAACCATCAATCAAATCATGATAGGGATGCACTTGATTGCTTGTATGAAGTAGAAATAAGGATCTTCGTACTCAAAGTCGTCGTTCAGGTTCTTCAGGCTTAACTCATTCAGTCTGATGAACGGAATGTCAATGTCTTTCAAGCTCTTTAACACAGCAGATGCATCAATGCCTTTATAGCACCCTTGCGGATTGACAAGATCAATTTTGATGACGACAATGCTCTCCTTGGGAACAAAGAGGTGCCTTAAAAAGACCACATCCAGTGGCTCATTGGTAGTGGACTTGACCGTGATTTGTTCGCAATAATCACCAACATGAGAGTTTGAGATGCTAACCCTAAGAACCTCCTCGTACTCAAAGGTGTTGGTCCTTTGCAGCCGCAACTTCTTCACAGGGGACAGCTGCAAAATTTAAAACTCAGAAATTCTCAAAACAAACAAAATTTAATAAATCCACCTTCTCCATTTGCACTCGGTTCAAGATTTGGAATCCAGCCAAATGCAAATCATGGGATGCAATGAAGGTGAGGCGGTTGGTGATTTCGATGCCAGAACGGACAGTGAAATTCCGCTGCTGGATTTTCAGGACGTTCTCGGGAATGAGTGTGAGATTTGTGTGCTTTGAGGATGTCAAAAATCTTCCCTCCCTCGCCTTGCACACCACGTTGGGCACTTCTTGGTCTGAATCTGAGAAAGCGTTGAACAAAGCAGTCTGTTCCTCTTCAGTAATGTACTCGGAGATCAATTGCACAGCTTCTCCGTCCAGGGACAAAATTCGCAGGTAAGGCAACAGACTTCTGAAGCAAGACCTGGAAAGTAAACCATATTAATAATTAAAATTAAAATATAATCTTGATTATATACCTCCTGTAGTGCACAGGCTGTTTCAAAGTCCAGTCCAAGCAAGCCTTAAGAAGAACAAATTCGTCTGCATCGGCAAAGAAGGGATCAACTTGTAGCATGGCAATCAAACTCTCTTCGTTGGCGCTGAAGAAAGTCGGATGATTGATGCATTGTTTCAGGCAGCTGGCCAGGAGCTTGAAATATAATAATTGCTTTAAAAAAAATATACAATTTTTAAATTCAATTTTGCACACCTTCAAGCAGGCGTCCTGAATGGAAGCGTCCAAGGGCATCTTGGTGATGGAATTCATGACCTGCCAGACGTTGTCCACTTCAAGCAAGCTGATGATAAGGTGGTTGGTGTACATGATCAGAGGCTCCACTTTGAAGGATCGAGCCACTTTATTCAAGCTGACGGCAACGTCGACATTGGTGATGGGATTCAGAAACCTGCCAATATGAGTGAATCTGAAAAAGTGGAAAGGGGTTAAAATAGTTGTAGTATTAAATGGGAGACAAGATTTCAGTACACTTACTCAATGAGCAGCTCAATAATGTTGGGCTGGAAATTTCTCACTACCATCCTACTTTTGGTTGTCATTGCATTGAAGGACTGCTCGAAAGTTAAGCTAGCGACCATTAAGTCACGTTTGACAGCATTCACTAACTGCCAAAATATAAAAATCACAATAATTTATACATTTTAGGCATACAAAATGTAACTAAAATTGCCAGGCAATTATTGACACATTACATTATTTAAAAATATTTAAATTACCTTATTGGTCTCTGAACCACCTGCAGCAACCAGAACGCAGTCGGTCATGAAATTATTTTTTAGAGCAGTGAGCTTTTCGTCCAGCATCATTTTTTCCGCCTCCTCCATTCTCTTCTGTGCTTCCAACTTCCGAAGCGTTGCTTTCAACCAACATCCATCCATAACTTGATGCCGATGCGAAGTATGTAAATTTAATTAAAATTAACAAAAGTTTATTGCATTTGCACTTTGATGCGTGCAGGTATAAAATGCAGTCTTCAATTAAGGCGATACAATTGAGCGTATGTATTTCACTTTTTTATAATACATAGATTCAGCAAGCAAAGTCTTGAGTTGTGGAAATGTCATTACATATGATGATAATACAAAAATGGGAAAATCTCACCTGCGTCTCCGTTTGAAATTTGAAAAATTTCTGGTCAAATCTCTCTTCTCAACTCTACTACAGGCAGTACAGACTACAGACGCCGCGGGTTGGACCTGTAGCGGTTGTGCCCACTCATGTGCTGACTGGTGGTGGTTTGGTGTTGCGCTGCAAGAGGCAGAGGGCAGAGGCACGACTAGACAAGGATGGGATGATGAGTCGTCAAAGCAGCCGGCGCAAAAGAAGAAACAGGAGTGAACGTGCAAAGTCCATTATTGGGAGAAACAGGAATGGGGAAGAATTCCAAATCGCACGTTTTCCATTCCGCTCCCTGGACAAGTCTTGACAGGCATATTATGCCGCCGCTAGCAGCCGCAGTGGAATTTTTCCCTCTCCCAAAATTGCGATGAATAAAAATGATCTTGAACAGAGGAGAACTTGCAAAAATTGCTGTTGCACCGTGAATATTGAAATTTGAGCAGAATAATTTCCTACATTATTTCTTTTTAATACTGATCCACCTTTAGTGCAATTAAAACGGATGAGCGTGTAACTGACGTGAATAATTTTAATGCCTTGCTGACAAAAGCATTAATAGATATGAAGAATCAGCAAAAATGCTTTTGTAATTGTTTACGTACACACAGGGCACTTTGTATAATTTTATTTGATTTTATTGAAACAGTGTGACAGAGCCAATTTTCTACAATAATTGCTTTCATTAAAGGGATAATAATAATTAGGGGTTGGTAAAAGTTTTAAGTATGGAAACGCAATTATTTATTTTTTTGTTTTTATTATTAACTTTAAGAATTCTAGTTTCTCCTGGGGAAACCTCCCTGGGTGTTTGGCTGGGTCAGCTGAAGACCAGAGATGTTGTTGAAATCCTGTAATCAACAAAGATGATAGATTTTTAAGAAAAAGGACAATTGTTACTGACAATTTTCAGCTTAATGGTTTTAACTTTATGGTTGTGTAGCGCTGCTAAAAAAATCTTACAGAACCAAAGGTATCAAAATTATATTTTGATGCAGGGTATACATTTTCAATATCTGCGTGATCTGCGTTTGATAATTATTTTAAATAAGATTTACCAACTTAAATGAAAATTATTTATTCTTCTCGGTCAATTCAAAAATGTTAAATTGGAAAAAAGAGAAGAAAGGGTTTATAACTAGCAGATGTCTGCTAAAACGCCAGACATCAAAAGAGACGGCCGCCGCGGTAAATTTACAAAGGTTATACAATAAATGAATAATTTCTACTATTTAAGATCTTCCAATAAGGAATTATATATGAAATGTAAAAAAAGTGTACTGACCAGCATCTTAAGCATTTCCTTGGTCTCAGGATCAACCTCAATGATGTCACTCTCGAGAGCAGACACGTCGGGCACATAGTTGTCCCTTCTCTCGCGCTCTTCCTCCTGCAGTTTGATGGAAATGCCACGCACCTGGCTGTGTCGCAGCCTCTTCATCAAATGTGTAACGAAGCTAAAAAAAAAATCAAATTGTTGTATTACAATGCCAAAAAATGTTTAAATGATTACAAAGTGGGTTAGGTGTATTCTTGATTTATGCAATACACAAATAATAAATAGATAAATTATCTTTACCCAGCGATTTTGTTTCTGAGGGGTTTGCTAGGAATGATAGCGATTTCCTCGCAAATGCGCTTATTCGTGTGGAAGTCGAGAGTGAGACGAGTGTAGTACTTCTCGATGATGACCCTTGCGGCCTTCTTCACCGTCTTCGTGCGGACACGACCCTGAGGAAGGAAGAAGATAAATTAATATTAATTGAGAGAGGGTGCATAATTAATCAATTTGGTCCAACATGCATGTCAACACATCAAAATCATCCACATGTGTCACAATGGTTTTTGTTTACATCCGCAGGGCTTGGAAATTTTACAGATTTGGGCGGTTCATTCATGAAATGAAAGTGTCGGATTGAAAAAAGAAGCGCTAATCACAATTTAATATAATATTACAATCAATTAAAATTTAAATCGGGCAGAATCAAAGAAATTTGGATTTTGTGAAAGGCAAAGACCACGGTTGCGGCTTCTCGGATGGGAAGTAAACAACGCTTTGCGGACTTAAAATAATGGCATAAAATTGAAGTACGGATCCTCCACTAACCGGAGAGTGAAGCAATCAATCAAAAATAACAATTTAGGGCCGGATGAATCGAGATTTTGCTTACCATTTTCGAAAAATGAAGTGGGCTGACGACAAATCAAGCAGACGTGAGCGGGCCTAAAGACTTCCTTGGCAGACAGGGCAGCCAACATGATTTTAGTGCCCTACTTAAAATCAATTGCCGAATTGTCGGCTTTTACTAATTTCAAAGGAAATTTTGGAAATTTTTCACTGAAATTGGAGACCAGTATTAATCATTCTTTCAAGAAATTTTCACTAAGATTTAATAACACCGTATCCGCTTGCATCTAGCCTAAAAAGTCAATTAAATATGAGATGAAATCTCAGCATTTTCCAACCTTGAATTGCAAGATTTATGTTTTATTTTTACAATGAAAATCGCAAAAAATTTCCAGGTTTGTATGAAATTAATAAAAATAAAAACTTGACGATAAAATTATTTCAAAAAATAAGTAAAGAAAGTCCCTAACGTGCGATTTCGTTTCAGAGCACTCCTTGGTTAACACGGTTAGGTTGGCAATGGAATGAGTCGACCTACGAGCTAGACCGTCAGTCTGTCGTTTTCTGCACATCCAGCGATCAGAAGAGGGACGCTGAACGCCGAAGCCGAAATTGGAGCGTGCGGGCGGCCAGCGAGTCGTCGCGAGCGGCCAGCGGACATGTCCGAGTGATGGAGTGTCCACACCTAGCGGTGGGCGCCGAGGCGGAGGCGGCTGCTCGTTCCTCTAGCTCGGCCGGGGGCGGCGTCAAGTGCGGCGACTGCGACGCGACGCACGGCCTCTGGCTGTGCTTGACGTGCGGCGGCCTCAACTGCGGCCGCTACGTCGCCGGACACGCCAAGGCGCACTACGAGGCCACTGGACACGAGACCGCCCTCGACTGGACAGCGCTGTCCGTCTATTGCTACACCTGCGACGAATACGCCGTCAACGACAACCCGCGGCTGGCCGCCGTACGAGCGGCCAGATCTGCACCCCCGCCGCGCCGATCTCTCCGCCCCAGGAAGCCCACCAAGCGCTCGCCCACCGGACGGCAGGAGGAGGTGCGTCCCATGTCCCTTAGACCCAAGGGCTTAAGAGGCCATTTTTGCGCCGCATTCGCTCGAGTGGAACGGGATTAACGCACTTCATGTCTCTCTAGAGCCGGCTTATGTGATTTATCTTCACATTTAAAATTTTAATGATTTATATTTAAAAATTTTGTTTCTAATTTTCTTTATGCTAATTCCTCTTCTCAAATTTAATCTGGGACAATCTCTTGAGCATCTAACCTAATTATGGGGATTTGGATAAGAAAGCCTATAAGAATAAATAGATGTGAGGAAATTCTAATTCCCCGTACACTTGCAATTGGGCTCAATTTTTAAACCTAACTACAAGCTGATAAAAATCTAATTTAAATTCAAATTTTACTATAAATCAAGTTATTAATAATAATATTTTTTTTTAAATCTGCAACTTTAAATATAATTCCAGAATCCACAAGAAGTCCATCCCCTAAAAATTTCTAAGACCTTCTTTGAAGTATTTAAATCAACCCGAGGTGGCATTCATAATTCTTGAGTTGAATGGTGGCTATTTTTATTCTGAAGGCTCTAAGGCTGTCTCTCGCTCTGCCGCTGCTGCGCTTCGGGCCGAAGGCTACAAATAATAACCCTTGATTGCCGCCACAAGCAAAGTGGAGCACGCACGTCAGATTTGCTAAACCGGCCGGGTTTCTTCCGTTCTCGAAATATTTTTTTTCCGCACGTTTCTCCCTCTATTTCAATTTGCAATTTTAGCTTATTTACCACCATTATAAGCGAATGGCGACGGGATTTGAAGTTTTATTGCCCTCTCTCGATTTAAAGCATTTAAAGTGTTGTTGTGATGAGGACGGGTAATCGAGAACTGGTCTGGTGCATTTTGCAGAATGAAGAGGAGGAGGCGGAGGAGACGGTGACCAAGAGGCCCAAGGAGGTGCGCGTCGTCGGTCTGCGCAACCTGGGCAACACATGCTTCATGAACGCCGTGCTCCAGTCGCTCAGGTGAGAGACCTGATCAAGTTTCTTCTTGCGTGTCACCAGAAAGTTTCCCAAGCCACTATTCTGTGTGGCTTTGTGCCAATTATGATATATATAAAATGATATTAAGTTCATAAGTAAATTATCAAATTTTAATTCCTTTTGTCGAGATTATAAAAATAAAATAAATCGATTAAGTACATATATTTGTTACTTATAGATCTGTTAATACATAACTAATTGTTAAAAATATTACTTATAAAATTACTAATTAAACTTATAATGTCATAACAACTGTTAATGTAACTTAAAATAAATTAAAATAAAAGCATTTTAACATTGGATTTCTTCGACAGTAACATTCAGGAGTTCTGCGGCTACTTCAAGAAGCTGCCGGCACTAGAGGCTAAAGATGGCCGCAGTCGGATGGCGTTCCGCAACTTGCGGTACGACGAGAGTGACAGTCTGATGACCGAAGAGCTGCGCAAGGTGCTGGTCAGCCTGGACAGCGGAGACAAAGCGGCCATCTCGCCAGAGTCCCTCTTCTCCGTCATTTGGAAAGTGGTGCCCAGATTCAGGTAAAAATCTTTTCCTGAACTTTCAATATTATTTTTTAATTCAGTTGATTTTTTGTAATCCCTTTTTTTAACACATTTAAACAAAATCCTTTGGATTAAAAAAATTATCAAAGATTGTCAAAAAAAAGTGAATGATTTAGCAGATTTTAGTACTTCTTAAATTTTTAGGTACTTGTTACTGATTTTAATCAAATTTCAGGGGATACCAACAGCAGGACGCTCACGAGTTTTTGCGCTACATGCTGGACAGGCTGCACACGGAGCTGCTGACGCTGCTGCCGAATGAGCCGGCCAACCACTCGATTGTAACCAGCGTTTTCGGAGGCACCCTGCAGAGCGAGGTGCACTGTCTGACGTGTGGCACGGACTCCAAGAAGCACGACCCCTTCCTCGACCTGTCCCTCGACGTCCCCGACCGCTTTTTGCCGGGGCGCACCAAGAGCAAGGAGAACACAGAGGAGTGTGCAGTTTCATGCCACCTCGAAGGTACTTTTGAATTTTAATTAAAGGAAATATGATAGAAAATGACATTATTTCTTTCAAATTTGCATAGATTATTTTTCCTAAATGAAGCAAACTGGTATGGCAACTTTAAAAATATTTTAACTCTCTTTTTTCAGACTGCCTGAAGAGCTTTGTGGAGGTGGAAGAACTGGCCGAGTCAGAGCTGTACTACTGCAGTTCGTGCAAGAGCAAGCAGCGCTCAACAAAGCGCTTTTGGATCCGGCGGTTGCCGAATGTGCTGTGTCTGCACATCAAGCGCTTCCGCTGGTCTTTCTGCTCGCGCACCAAGCTCGACACGTATATTTCATTCCCACTGCGCGCTCTGGACATGTCCCAGTTTGTGCTGGGCGAGTCGGAGAGCCACCTTTACGACTTGGCTGCTGTGATAGTCCACCACGGATCAGGGTTAATACAAATTAAAATTTGCTCCGAACATTTTCACATAGGAGTTTCTTTATTTCAGTGCCGGCTCAGGACACTACACGGCGTTTGCTGTCAACAAAGGAAACTGGTTCCACTTTAACGACAGCACCGTGCGAACCGTGCCCGCCAAGGAGGTGGAGAAGTGCAAGGCTTACATCTTGTTCTACATTCGTCAGGAGTTCCGGCTGCCGCAGTTCTAGCCGTCGGTAATACGAAAGAAGAGATGATAATTCCATTCAATTTATTTAATTTAGTTTTAATTACTCGGTCGCTGCCAATTTTTGTGCGCAGCAAAGGGACACATACGGATTTTCAAACCCCTTTACTTGTCCCCCGCCCACTCTGCTAGCTGGACACTGATTGCTAAGTGATTTTCTGGTGAAGTTGAAGCTACACTTAAAAAGTAATTGTTGCAAGTTCGCATCACTCTTTAGACAGAAGGAGGAAATTTCCAACGCAGAACTGATCACGTTTCGGGTTCTGTTGCTTCGTTCGCGAAAAAGCTTTTCAGTGTAATTTTCTTCCTTTGTGTGGAAGTCCTTGAAACTAGTTTTATCAAAATAAAATGGAGAAGAACCAAGCCCTAATTAATTTTATTGACCGCTTCTTCTTATTTTAAATCCAATTAATTAATTCCAACTGCAAAGGCGCATGCTCGAGAATTGTGATGGAAGTAGTTCCAGTCGAGCTCGAGAGATGCCGTGGGCAGGACAGTCCGCGGGGGCGGCAATTCTCTGACGAATTCTCCTCAAGACAAAATATAAATTGTATGCACTGCGGCAAATTGAGGCAGGTGACATTTGAGCACCTGCCACAGGTGCGAGGGTGTACCTGCGCGTCTTATGCAAATCAGAAGAGGACGCGGAAGCAAGCGAGGGATTAATTTGCGGTCGGGGGCGGAAGTGGCCACGAAATTACACGACCGAACTGTCATATCAAGCTGATTATACTCATTATTCACACACTTTACAACGCTGGTCGGCGCTTTTGTTGCAGTTGTAACTGCCGCGCGCGCGTGTCTTCTTATCGATTTGAAGAATTGCTTGACGTTTTTGCCCAAAGTAAGTCAAGGTGTTGCACTCTCCGAAGTTTTCGTATGTAATAAAAACAGAACAAAGGGAAAAGCAATGTGCGGTGGCATTTGATAAAATGCATTAATGCAAATGAATGCAGAGACCAACAGCTTGTGACTCGAATGAACAACGATCTAATAGTTGAAAATTATTTTGAAATGAAAAATATATATTTTGACCTTTCTTAAAAATTTCATTATTTTTCATAATCAATTTGGTAAATGCAATTTTTTTGCACCATATAATCAGTAACTGAAGCACAAGATTATAAAAAAAATCCGGAATTTTAAAATCAATCGATTGATAGGCATGAATAATATGGTTTTCTGCACAAATTTCGCGCTTACAATTGTTGAAAATTTTGGAGCAGATACAATAGATAATACCTATATTTAAGTTTGGCAAATTAAACTTAGCATCTGGCGATCATTATAATGCAAATGTTTTCTGATTTCTCTCTCATTCCTTCTTTAATTTCGCCATTCCTTATTCCATCTTTTAATGCTAAATAATTTTAAATTGAAAATAAGAAATTCGCCGTTTTTTGCACATCAGGCAAATGGTGCGGTAGCAGTATAAGTCTACATAGATTAATTTTTAACACCTCCTCATTTAATTGTTGTAAAGTGAGTTTACATTTTTTCTTATTGAGATTTTTTACAATTCAAAAGAAAGGCATAGTTTAAATTATAAAACAAAAATTGTTTAAAAAAATTTCTTTTCCTTTTCCATCAGATTTATAAAACAATGGACAATTAAAATTAATAAAATTTGTATCCTACATGCAATAACATAATTTTCTTTCAAATTTTTGGGTATTTACTGAAGTGTTGACAAAAAAAATGTCTTTTATTTATTTCAATTCACATTTGTATAAACACTAAAATTGACAAATATATTTTAATATTGAATTAAAATATTCAATGAGCGCAACCCAATATAATTATGCCACCTTGACAATATTGCACTGTTTGTTTTTTAATGCATTTTTTTTTATTGATTTTTTAATAAAAATTGATACGTTTATTAACTCACCCTGTATTAATATTTTAGAATAAAAATCTTCGTCAAGGGGTGAATCTTACTATTTTTTCCCTCGGCATTGAGAGAGTTGAGCATCGGCCGTTAAGTACCAGGATGAAAATTGAAAAATCGCGATGGCAAGGGGGATGTCAAGCGCCCGGGGGATGAATCAAATAAAAATTGATTGCGTTAATAACTGCACGCGCAACGAGGCGAATTGCCCTTTTTTTACCAAAGAAGCATGAAAAGCAAGAGCACCGATTGAATAATTTACCGGTGGATGAATTTTGTATTTTCAGAGAAAGAGAGCAGCCGCGTTCGTGTTTTTCCACTGTATTACAATTTTGCTCTCGCGCACCCCCCGCGATGCAAACACACACGGCGAAGAGCAGAACAGGTGGAACGAATCGTCGTTTGTCTTTATTTAATTCTGGCTGTCGCGGCTCACACCTTGCTCGACGCTAATTTCTCCCGGGACTCGCGCTCGCGCGGCGGCGATTGTGATGCATATCCAAACAGCCCTTAAAAAATAATTGCGCCTCCCCGACCCTACGCACAGAGCAAAAGCAGCTCGGCAGCGAGCAGAGCAGGAAAAAGAGGAGCGGCGAAGGTCGTGGCGCTGAAGAGAGAGGTTTGACACTTAATTAAATGTGTCGAGAAGAACGAAAAGGACGGGGGGTTTGTTTCCTCCTCTTTTCTTCTTATTTTCTTATACCATCAGGTATATATTGTATATAGTGTACCTTGGTGTATGTAATTACGCGAGAGCGCCGCGGATCGAAATTAGAAAAGTGACATTAATTAGCTGCGCGCCCATTATCCCACGTTACGCTGCCCTATAATTACCGACCTTTTTCAAACGGCCAGGTCAATTTCAGTGAACTAGCAAATTATCCGCCCGGACCATGCAGAGCACGACACTAAATAATACGCCTGACCCAAGAGGTGTCCCTAGCTCGGCGATCTGCGCCGAGCACGCCCCCAAACATTTATTTTGTTCAGAACACCGGCCGCGGCTTATTCCACAGAGCCGGCTGCGAGATCCAGCCGGGTTAATTCATCATCACGACGCGTTTTGCAAAATTCTAACCTTCGCCGCAGCACCAGAAAGACACGCCACGCGATTAATTGTGAAGATTGCCGCCGCCGCCGCGCTCTTCAATTTGCAGGCCGGGATATAAAAAGAATGAGATGCACGGCCACCTCTCATGCTGTATGAACGCGGACGACTCTAATTCTTTTATAATAACTTAATTGCACCGAAATATTTCAAACCGTCGAAAACACTTTTAGTCGCGCCTGACAATTCACAAAAGGGACAGAGCGCTTAATCTTCGCGCCGATATATACCTGTAATAATAACGCGTTGATATTCGCATTAAATCATATATAATGGAGCGTGCAGGTCCAATTTTAAATTGAAACGGTCAAACGGTTTTATATAATATTAGAAAATTATATATATCTGCGTGGGATCAGAAATTGATAAAATTTTGTTTTAATCTCTTTTGCCCGAAATAAAAAAAAAATATGGTTTTGTTAATTTTTAAAGTAATTAGTTTATTTGCAACTTTGATTGTACATTTCAATCTAACATTTTTAAAGTTAACAAATCTTTTCGCAATTTTTTAATCTGGACTGTTGACTTTTAATTTTTTTACTTATTTATCGTGAAATGTTAAAAAAGTTATTTTACATCAAATCTGTTTAAAATTATACTCTAACAATATTTTTGTTATTGATTAAAACGTTTCGCTTACCTGGATAAGAAATTTTTCAGAATAAATTATGTTTGTACCCTCAGGTGTATCACATTGGATTTTTGTAATTGTGCATATTTTACTTTGAAAAAAAAATGAAAGCAATTTTTCACTTTTTATAATAATAAATAATTGACGAGAATATTATACGCTGCTGCAATTTAATTTAAAAAATTTTTATAGTGACATAGTTTTTTATATTTAACTTTTTTAAATTCTGCTCAATAGTCGAGTCATTTCAACAAGAGCAGTTCATAGTAACTTATGTGAACAATTAACAAATAGAGAAAGTGTTTCGACCTCTCCCTCTCTGCAGTGCTTAAAGCTTAAAGAGCTGGTCTTTAAGCGTGTATATTTAAATTCATCAGTGAACACACACGTGAGCATTGTTGTATGTATTGAATGTGTTTGTGTACAATATTAAATTGCAATAAATCTTGAGGCAACGCCGTGCAGCGCGGGGCGTTGGTGCGCCCGAAACTTTTTAATAACACATTAGCAGGAAATTTTGCGCCAAAACATGCGCCCATAAATTCTCTTCAACATAATTTTCTCCTCTCGTTAATGGCGTTCCGCTGTAACAAAGCCCATTATGTACCACAGAGTGACAATTATTGAGAAGCCGCGCCAAATGAGCGTCTTTTGCACTTCTTTTTTTTACAGAGGAGAATAAGGCTCTGGTATAATTAGTGTCGCAAATTGATTCCGTCTCTCACGAACCTCAATTTTTCTTCTATGTGTTATTTTATCTGCCGGTATCGATCTATCTCCTCCGAGAAAAGAAAAGAAAGACCGACCGACACATACCCGTTATCGGCGCTCGTGTTTTCGGAGCGCGAAATGAAAAATTACGCGCGCCTCCTTCTTAATAATAAACACGGGCGCGCTGCACACGCGGGGGGATAATGAAATAATAAATATGAAATATGGCCGAATTAAAAAGTTTACGACGCGTCGCTCACTGCGTACATGTCTATATATTTACAAATTAATCTGATTACAGTTGACACCAAAAGGAGCTCAGCGCGGGGGAGCCGAAAAGCGACTTTGACTGCTTTTTAACTATAAGAATGCCCCGAGGGAGCGGAAAAAAAGTATCAAGCGAAAGAGAAACGCTGCAACTTTTTAATAAATTCGCGCGCGCCGATGAAATAACGGGCGCGGGATGCGAAAATATTTAATATAGCAGTCAGTCAGTCATGCACGTCTCGCTGCGCTGTGCTCTGTCGGTGGTGGTTTTTAATTAAAAGGATCAAAGCATCGTCCCGAGGATACGTTTTGCTTAATTGCTTGGAATAAGTTTAAATAAATAGAAGCGGATAAGGAGCCGTTTTGCGGCCGGCGACCGGAGAGAGAGACGCGCCCGTACATCAAAGCGGCCGCATGATTGAAAATGCAAACGCGACCCACCCCCGCACGCGCGCACGACATTCCTCGGGCGCACCGCTCCTGCAGCTCTTTCCAGCCCAGTGACACAGGAAATATTTGCACAGGCCGAAGGGGTTCGTTCGTTCGTTCTCTCCGTGATTAATCCGTTGCCCACCAGCATTACGCCGGCCGAATTAGTGCTGTTTTGTTAGAGCAGCTTTGTTTGTCTGAAGCCCTTTTACTGGGGGGTCGAGGGGTGGAAAAGAGCTGAGGCACTTTTCTTGGAATTCACAGTTTAAGCGGCGAGCTTAATCGCGCAACCTATGCCATTGTTACAAACGTGCCGAGATTCAGATT